TAATTTATATACTTTATAGGTATTAAGGTCAACAATAAAATATACAAAATTGTTACGATAAGAAATAGAAGATCTAAATATAGATCAAATTAAATGTATTAAAAGCAAAGGATCATAAGTTTCATTTGGCAACATTATCGTGTGTTATGCCACATTGTTGTGGGCTTTGAAAAGTTCACCCAACTCTTTTATAACTTGAGGAAAAAAAAATTTATAAACAAATTAAGCTATAAATAAAATAATACCAAGAGATTTTGCTCTCATTGAGAGTTTTATATTCCTGCTTTGAAACTTCCCCTCAAGTGCAAGCCCCATTGGTCAATTATCCATATTCCACTGTCAAGATTTTCCATGGGTACAAACCCCATAGTTAATCATCCATCATGATGACAAGGGGAAAACTTTTGATTAAAGATGGTCACGAGGCTACATATTAAATTTAATGATATATTAACTTCTCATTTTGGTTCAATAAGTTATGGTGCTTTTTAAATCAAATTTTCACTCTCCTATTAGTTAGTTAAGTGGTTCATTAGCACATTTTAGGCATGCCTATTAGGTTTGAAGTAACCATTTTTTAAAAGTGTATGCACTTTAGGTGAGAAAGATATAATCATACATTGATATGAAATTGACTCGTGTGAGTTTAAGAAAGCCTGGGTTTAGCACCCTTGGAAAGCCTTAGGCATGTGACTATTTTTGTGTGAGAGGTAGGTTGTGGTGCAATACTTGTTATTGTATATTTTTATAAGATTCCAATTTTAATGCTCTTTTCACAGGACCCATTGATGGGGGCTATGGAGTGAACTTTTGATTTATATAAAAATTTAGAACTCTATCACCCCTAAACTATGCTTAGATTTTCTTTGATATAAAAAAAAGAAACCCGCACTTAATATACACAAGTATACGTGCCAAATCAAGTAATAAAGTGATAGAGTAGAGTGTCGATCCCATGAGAAAGTATGCTTACTTGCAACAAACTACTACCGTTTACTTTAATTGCAATAATTATCCTACTGAAATAAAAATGATAATTGTGGAGATTCTATAACATAATAAAACAGTAAAAATATTGGATACAATATTTAATAAAAGTGTTTTGAATTGATGAGTGCAAATTTCATATATTTCCTAATGAAACTCTTAATCATAGATGTGATTCATAACATATGCATCTCTAGATCTCTATCAAGTTTATAGGGGTGAAAAGGAAATTTGTTGACGTCCTACAGTTATAGTATCTCCTTAAGATTCTACAACATTTTACATCCTATGCCTAGGCATGCAAACATCTTATCTCAATATTCCTAGTTGTTCTTATATTCCTCCGCTGAGGCTATACATCACACTATATTTTAACTACACATATTATCGCTATGTGTATTAAATTAAGATCGTGATAATATTGAAAACATCATTTAACATTTATAAAACAAGAGTCTTCATTAGTACTTAACATGCACTTTATATCATCAATCCAAAACAAGAGAATTAGCCAAACATAGAATAAATGACAAGCAAACTCATTTTCATTAAACTCAAAAAAGAATGAAAATATAAGAGATTGATATCACCAGAAAATATCAAAGTATCTCCTCTACACATCTTCTCCCTTAAATTACAGAGTTGTTTCAAGAAACACAAGTTAAACAATCCAAATAATTGTATATTATACTTCTCTAGCTTCCCTTAGATTTTATTCTGAGATAAAACTAAAGTACTATAAAAAGAAATAATGAATTTTACTCAAGTGGTTGAACTCCCTTACAAACATAACATCATAACTATTTATAGGATAACACAAAAAGGCATCTGGCACTGCGGCGCTCGAAAGAGCATCATCGCGGCATCATTGAAGTGAACTAACGCCTTGATGCTGAGACTTTTCACCGCCGTGTCGTTTCCTGATGTGGATTTGTTACTTAGTAAACAGTCACGTCTCTTCACTGGGAGAACGTGGCCTTGGGAATTTATAACTGCAGCACCACGGCGTTGTTGACATTCGAGAGCTGCGGCATCCGAGTGACAAAAATGGTGCCAAGGTGCGAGAAATTGTGGCATTAGATAATAGAGAATCCGGTGATGTCAAGCTAACTTTTTAACATCGCGGTGTTGGTAATCTTGCAGTGATGTTTGTGTTGTTGTCGCAGCGCTTACAAACAGAAAACTCGGCACCGCAATGTTTAATTTGTGGCACCTCGACGGTATTGAAGGTAGCATTGCAGCATTGTTTCGTCAGACATTGCAGCGCTATAAGCTCATTAGAATTTATGTCACTTTTTGAGTTTTCCTGTACAAAAATAACTAAAATAACATAATTTCATTGAATATAAAACATGTAAAACACTAAATAAGTTAAACTTATCACCCATCATCAATAAAAGGCAAGCTACTTAATTTTAAGGACCTAGGTCAAAGGTCAATAGTCAAGGTGTCAAAAAGGCTCGATGTTCACATAAAACTTATATTTGACTCAATAGTTTTTTTTTTTTTTCCCCCATTTGTTAAGTGAGACAAACTTGAACAATATTTTTTAGCGCATTTCATAAACAATCAAAACTCAAAAAGAATATAGTTCAACTTTGTTTGGCTAGCTAAAGGCTACATACATATGTGTCAAGTTCATTTTGATTCATGTATTTTATTACTAAAAGTCATCAAATATACTTTCAATTTTGAGCAACAAATTTTTTAAATCTTATGGCACTTAAAAGACATGTTAATAAATTTAAAAAAAAAAAAACTCATAAATTTTTCATGTAATTGGAGTCATCAATCAAAAAATCTTAGATTAGCTCGACTTGATTGTTCATTCATGTTTGGTCCTAATATGACTGATATAAATAGGGTAGAACATGAACTAAAATTTTCAACTTGTTAACCAACTTAAGCTCATTCGTGTTCAACTTTATAGTTAACCAATCAAGCTGAACAATATCACAACTAGGTTTATCAATAATTAGACTACTTTATTATCTCAATCATAAATTAATGCTTAGCCGTCCTAATTTCTCCAATTAGCTTATCCAAGCATATTAATTAGCATCCAAATTATTATTTAGTTTTTAAATAAGTAAATTTATTAATTATTAATTAATGAATTAGTTGTCATTTTTTTTTGTAACTAAACACCATTTAGGAAGTAAATCAACTCATATTTTCATAAACATAAAAACTTGAATCTAACAAAATTGTTGTTAAAAACAGCATTGTTTAGCTTTCATAGCATTAAACTATGGTCTATAACAGCTAAGACACTGTCATTTTTACGTCCTAAAAAAGTTAAATTTGCGAATGGAAACTTATATAAAATGAAGATACAATTTTTTTAAACTTAATGAAATTCTTCCATCAAGCCCCACTAGCCGGCTGATGGAAATGGACCGACTACCAGAGATATTTGTGAGCTTCGTCTGCACTTGTTTGTACCCAAATGTTAAGAAAATATTGCAATATTATTTTGTGAAATTATTAAAGGCTAATTTTAGCCAAGAAATTTTTTTAAACGAGCATATTTCCCATAGGCATGAAATATATCATGGATGAATCCAACATTTTATAGTTGAGTTAACTTTAAACAATATGCAAAAATAATAATGCTTTACATACAAATCAGATGCCTCTTAAGATTAGTCAATGTTAGGAGATATTGGAATTGATCGATTAACATATATTTTCAATGAAATTTTAAGAACTAAAAGGGTAACAGATAATTGAAAGAAAATGTATTTTGGCATCAATATTTTTGAACAAAGAAAATGTTTAAGATTATCACAATTATAAGAAAATCAAACTGTCACACAATTAACTCATGGACGAGGATCTAGAATATGAGCTTTAGAAATTATGTCGATATCAGAAAATCAATTTGGATTTATACCAAGAAGATCCATTATGGAAGTGAATTAGTGCCAATACAACTTACGTAAAAGTAGAATAATTTGCATATGATTTGAGAAGGTATATAATCAAGAACGATGGGAACTAATTTTGTGGGCATTAAGAAAAAAATGCGTATGTCAAATATATATTCGAGTTTAAACACATATATGATTAAAGCATTAAATAACATTAGTATCTCTGGATTGACTAATGAATTGTCAATCCATTAGGATATATTAAGTATCAAAATTAAGCGTGTGCGTTTTTATATTATTTATAGAGAAGATTACAAAGGATATTCAAAGGTTGGTATTATAGTGTATGAATTTGCATATAACAACTATGGAGACATATTTTATGAAGCTATAATTAGACTAGTTATGTTATATGGAATCAAGAGTTCCGTGATAAAAAAGATAACAATAGCTAAGTTGAGTATGGCAAAAATGATGATGTTAAGATGGATGTATATCAAACTTGAAGGGAAAACTGAGAAAATATTCTATGAGTTGCGGCCAGAAAAGTAGCATCTATAGAAGATTGCCTAGTGCAAAATAAACTTAAATAACATTGACATATGTACAATAAAAGGCCAAATATGCACCAATAAGAAAAGCATCCGTAGTTAACATGGAAAAGGCAGACCAAGTATAACATGAATAGAACTACAAAAAAATTTTACGCAAAATATGTTTGACAAGCAAATGGGGCAACCCTGATGCCTCAAGTCGCAATTACAAAGGCAAAATGGTACTCATTTCTAGGTTTTAAAACTCGTTTGCTACAGCCTTGATGCCAAGTTAAACTAAATCTTTTGAACACAACATGGCTTCCTCCGATCCCTAATCACCAAGCCTCAATAAGCTACTACTCTATCTCAGTTACTCGTCATCATACAAACACAAGCCCATTAATCACCATGGACATAAACTAATCCCAATTTGCTCCCTGAAACTTCTAAGGCATGCAATCCAATAACATACACCGTAGAATAAATCATGAAACTACCCTCTGCCCAGCGAGAGTTGCAGTCTCTAAATAATTATAGTTCCAGCAAATAACCAAATAGAAACAGATATGCTTGTGCGTGAGACTGTGAGAGAAAGAAAGAGTACACTAGCGCTGGGACGGGGCTGGACGATTTGGCGCTCGAAGACCCTCGCCGTAACGTTCAAGCTCTTAAACATCAGTGATTGGCGTAAGAGTGTAAATCCCGAATGGGCGAATGGGATGACTCGCGGTGCCTCTCCGGCATCCTAACAGCGGAGGGGATTTGGGGGCGGAGCTGGAGCTGGCAATCACACTCGAGACTGAGTTCACTCTTCTCCTCTCCTCCCTGCGAAGCTCCGAGTTCTTTCCCTAGCTTTTGCCTTATAGCCTCGGCTTCGGGGCCGTAGGCGTCTATGGCCTGTGAGGACATCAACCGAGCACGTAACACGCACGAATTCGCGAAATTTTAGAGGATTTTTTATATATATATATATATATATATATAAAGTTATTAACATCATAAAAAATTTTATATCTTTTTACATCTAATATTTAAATATTTATATTTATTTATATAGCACTCATGAGCGAAAAGTATCTGATGAGATTACTATAAAGTGATGCATGAAATGAAGTGGTACACAAAGTTTTCATCAAGTAACGAAGGGTGTAAATGAGTTGAGTCAAGTGCTTGTCTGATTGAATTAAGCTAGTTTAATTCTAGCTGACTTGAACTCAGCTCATTCGAAAATTGTTATGTAACAACTTCAAAAAGATAAATAGTAAATAATTGAAATTTTGGGTTTGGACCCATTTGCATATGTTTTGCAGTGTTTTAATGCTTGAAAATGCTTGGGGTGCTCTAAAATGAGTCCCAAGTGTTATGTATGAATTTCGGCAAAATTCGAGTGTCACTTATAGAGCGCCCTAACGTCGCAAGTTCAAGTACCGCAGCGCTGTACTCAGCCAAGGCGTCAAAAATTGACATTGCGGTGCCAGCTCTAAGGTTGTTGCTTATTTTTTAGCGCGCAACACCTGAAATTGAGCGCCACAGTTATTTATCCATGCAAGAAAGATAACATGCCAAGAAACAAAGATAAGCAAATAAACAATCAATTCAAGGGTCTTATACATAATGTAATATTTATTGGTTTCATAACTAAGGAATTATGTGTAAGGTAAAACATAATCATTGTCGTTATATTCCCAATGTAATCTTGACAAATAATAATTTGCACTTATTATAGCATGCTTTGAATGAAAAGTTGTATAAGATATATATATTTCAAATAAAGTGCACATGACATTATAAAACTTAAGAGTGCTAAATAAAAGGTTGCTTATCAAACAATGGGGACCAAGAGATAATATCTAAGTCACTTTATATACCACATAGGGATATAACTCATTAACTAGTTCAATAAAAGATATGTTAACTAAGGCAAGTTGAGAATCTAATAGTGCATTAAACATATGTATCTTAGGAGGCAATGATGCGTCTCATGATGACCTTAATTGGCTTTGGTAATCCTCGTTCTCAACTGCAATATCACAATAACCCATATCATGCCCCTTTTGAAACACCAAAGCCTCAACATCCTTCTATTTTGTGGAGCCATTGCTTTTTATGCTATTAATATGTTCAATGAGATTGAGCATAACAATCTTTGAATCAATAAATATATCTTATAGACTTTGAGTAAAGACTCGTTCGTTTCTCCATATGATAACATGGCTCTTAAACTTTAGCACGGTTGATGGTTCTACCTTTAAGATTGTATAAAAAAAAAAACTATGTTTTATATCCACAATGCATAAAAGACTAGTGCATTTTCTTTTCTAAGAGAAGGATCACAATAGAAGTTCTTGGCCTATAGATGTTGAGTTTATGGTGCACTTAAAATATTAAGCTATAACTAAAATAGACTAAATTTTAATATATCTAAGATAACGTTTAACTATTAAGGGACTAACAATAATGATTACTCTTTGGCAATATTTAGGGGTCTAAATCTTCTAAAGGAGGTTTTAACCAAGCAAAATTAAGATGAAGATATTTGAGTTAAAACCCAAATATAAGACAATTAGTTAATTGCAATTGGTTTATGGATTACCCAATTTTTATGAAACTTAATGAACTTTCCTCTCTTAAACTCCTTTTATGATTAAACTTTTCCTTCTTTTATCTTCCTTCAATAATTATTGATTATTCATTTATATTCCTCCTGATATAGATATCAATTTTGAGAGTTATAGAGGTTAAGAAAATATAGAGAGAAAAAAAAAAGATGAAGAGAGAGAGAGATGAGTAGGGACTTTTGGAAAGCAATTTATTGATTAATCACATTAAAGTTCTATAAAACATGATATACTAATTGAAATCTTAAAAAAAAAAACTTTAAACTAAGTAAAATAATTTGAATGTCTTTTACTTCTTGATGGGTCTACCATTCTAAAAATATCAGGGAAAATTTTATAGAAGAATAATTAAAACTTTAAACTTTTATGATAACTAATTTCCCGTCTATTTATTTTATAGAAATTTATACTTTGACTTGATCCATACTACTGCTAAACTATGCATGCATCTCTCAAAATATTGCCTTTGTTTCTTATAAAGTTTTAGGGCCTATATATAATGCTCCTAGATACTTTTGAAAAGTTATAAAAGTTCCCCTTGAATGTTCTAGAAGATTTCTAGAATATTCTAAAATATTTTATGAGCTTCATATCATGTCCTTTTGGATCACTTAATAATATAGAGGTGGCATATGTTAGCCAACCATGATGTTACTCTATCAAAGACTTAACTTGAAGAAAAAGGGAATTAAGATTTGAGTTAGTAAATATAGTTAAATTATGGTTACTAATATAAATGATAAATCCAAATTAACTATTTTAAAAAAGACAAATATTAATTCATAAAGGAAGTTTTTATACTTTCGAGCCCAAAAAATAATACAAATAATAAAAAGTGAAAAAAGAAATACTAGTTTCCTTACCTTTATTTTATTTGATTCAGATATAAAATATGCCATAAAAATATGTAGGCACTGCCATCTCTATTAGCACCCCATTTCATGGAGATTATAGCCATAGTGACATCATTTAAGGTACAAGGCATCATCTTAAGTAGGGGTGTCAAAACTTGACCAGACCTGGGCCCGACCCAGAAAATTTCAAGTTCGGGTCAACCCGTTTGCCATACTGGTCGGGTTCGGCTTTGAGATTCTGACACGTTTATAAAATCGGGTCGGGATCGTTAACCCGAAAATCTGAAATCAACCTGAATTGACCCGAACCACCCGTTTATTATAATGTAGCTCAGTTGATAATTCAATTTGCCGCATATATCAACATCCCTCTTGTTTGGCTTAAGGAAAATGATAACTTCTCGCTGAGTACCCTTAGATTACGTTCAAGATAAGATCTCTTAAATGTTGATCTATGGGTCCACCTAACTCACTACAAGCTTTGGCTCTTCCACAAGTACTCAGGTTCGGGATTACCATATATAACACGTTTATCGACTTCTCCTTTATTTTCCATCAAAGGTTAGTCCACAAACTATTCTTCTTCGAATGGTCTTGTCAATGCATTTACCACATCAAAATTCTATTGCATTTTTCTAACGTATTCTTGGTCATCGAGACTCATTCATAGTTGATCTCTTGAATGTCATTATTACCAGTGAAATTCTATCACAACTCACAACTTCCTCAGTTCTTTTCATCTTCGGGGGTTTTAAGATTAGGGGTTTTCTCATGTCACTCGTCTTGTTGATGAGAGATTATTATGTGCGGTATTCGAACGCTTTCGGAGGCCAATCTGGACGCGCCACATCATCCAATACACTGTGCATTGGGTGACGTGGCTCATCCGGATTGGTCTTCGGATGCGTCCGAACACCACACATAATTATTTTTTCCTTGTTTATCACCCATCCCTAATGAGACTCTATTGCGACTTCTATTGTTAGTAGTCGAGGATTTCAAAAAGACAAGAAACAACATTGTTAGACGAAGTGATATGGTGATAGTTCATTAAAAAGAAAATTTTACATGTTAAGTAATACTCCGTTTGAAATAATTTTTTACTATCATTTTTTTCGCTACTTTAAAAAATAATAAGAAAATTGTTGAAATCTAAGTCTCTAATTTACAAGGGATGATCATAAACATTCGTCTAAAATTTTTATAGGGTTTAGGTAAGTAAAAAATATGTTGATTATGAGGAATATAAATATATAATAGCTAAAATTTCCGTTACTATTTTTGCCCTTGCAAGTTACCTAAAGAGGCTGCCTTTAATTTTTTTCAAAGTTGCCGTTGCGGTCTAAATCCGGCGCTGCGAGGTTTTTTCTCGCTCCACCCTGGTCTCTTGTTTCGCTCAGATCTGCCGGCGACCTCTGATAAGACTCGCAGATCCGAAGTCCTCTGTAATCTTTCCGTTCTTGTGGATCGGAAAGCATTTTCTTTTACCGAAGGATCTTATCCAGAAAGAGGCAGAGACGTCCGTCTCCGGTTTTGTTGACTAAATTCCCTCTCTTTTCCATCGGAGTCGACGAAGATCAATGGGGGAAAACCCGGCGGCTTCACGCTATGTGAAGCTAACCAAGGAGCATGATACGCCGATCGAGGAGATCCGCCCGGGAGAGCTTAATCAGCCTGTTAGGGTTCCTCAGGTCGGTTATTTTGTATATTTCCTTGCCCTATGACCTTTTTGTGCTGATATTTTACTTCCTGTATCGGGAAAAAAATTCAGCTTGTTGAAATGGGATCTTTGCCATGCGCAAGTTTGGTGGTTTAGAAATGTTGTTTTGGTCTTTTTGTTTGATTGGAAACTTTTAGTTTATTTTTTTGTATCATAATTGGTGATGTTGGAGCAGTTGGAAGTTCGTAAATGTAATGAGTGTGGGCAGCCGCTGCCAGAAAGCTACGAACCTCCAGCTGATGAACCCTGGACGACTGGAATCTTTGGTTGTGCAGAGGACCCTGACAGCTGTAAGAAATTTCCTCACTTTGTGCTTTTGTTGTTAATTGAAGCTCTTTAAATTATTTGTTCTTTTTAGATACTTAGTTAAGTGATGTTAGATCTAATGTTGAAATCTTGTCTTATGGAAGTCTAAAGAATGAAATTAGATCTGACAGTGGGAGAGTGTCATATGGAGCTCTAAACCCTCTGAACTAGCAGTGCTGATTATTGATTTCAAAATTTTTTTTAAGGTCCAGAATATGGCTCATTAAGACCTTAGGGAATTCTTTTCAGCTGCATTATTTCTTAAAAAGAATCTAATGTCTCTTAATTCTGATTTCTGCAAGAATCTTCTGAAGCAGAGTCTTAGATATTGCACATTTGCCTCCCTTAGGGCTTCAAGATTATGAGTAACACACTTGCAAAGCTATTTTGCAAAATACCTAAAAGAGTAGTGGTGACTTTTATTTTGCAAAATACAAGAAAATCACAACAACAACAACAACAAAAAAAGAGGCCTAAGTTTGTGAATACTATTACAACAACAACAACATCAAGCCTTTATCCCGCTACGTTCGGTCGGCAATTGAATACACTTTAAAAAATTTAGTCAATTTACTTTATACAAAAAATGTTACATTGCTTTTTCAGCAAACCTAATGGCCCCTTAGTCAATTTATATTTTGGGAATTTCTTTTCCTATGTGTAGATGGAGGTGATAACTATGCTTTACTTGCCTTATTCCAATTCTTCTTTCTTCCTTATAGAACTAAACTTCTTACTTTGCTGGCATGAGGTTTTCTAGAACCTTTCTCTATCCAAATATGATAATATCAACTGCAGTACTTATCAGTGGAGTAATGATTCATTATATTTCTATTGCGTCAATTCAACTTTAATAAATTTTTAATGATACTAAAATAGTGACAGTGTACATGCAGAATAGGATATCCAAAATCGACAATCTGTATTTTTGGATAAAAATATCATAGACAAGTTTTATGTATTCAAAATTGGCATACCTTTGATACTGACAACTTTAGATTGAGAGTCTTTGTAACTAGATGCCAATGGAAATTTGTTACAATAATGAACCTACAACCAGGTTAATCAAAATTTAGCTTATAAGGTATCCTTTTTATATTTGTTATTCTAGAAGTGCAAAACTTTCTTCATTTAATTTCTACATAGAATTGAATAAGTCAAGAAGCTCTTATGAAAGTTGTTATGGGAAAGTCATCTGAAGGCCAAGACAATAATTGAATGCTGATAAGTTCTGTACTACATATTATTGGTTTATTATACTTAGTTATGTTGATTTTTGGTGCAGTCATGAAGGATACATTTGTAGGCCATTTAAACAAGTTAATAGCAGCAGGCTAAGCTAGCATAACCTCACTTTTATTCTACTTTGTACAAAAATTATAAGGGCTTTATGTGAGGTTCTAAATACAGTGTGGTCAAGACTAATCGTTAATTCCCAGTTTTTATGAACTATCATTTTCATTTTATGCATAATCTGTTCACTTAGATATGTTCGTATAATATTTTAAATTTATGCTTTATTTGAGGTGTTACGTAAAGTGCGGAAATCCAGCAACATAAATTCTGAATCTATTGATAGCCTTATGAAAACTAATACTATTTTAAATATGCTTGTCAATCCTGCATGCACTTTTATAGTTGTCCTGTGTCTATGCTAAATGAATTGACCAAATTAATGGCCAAATAGTCTGGTCTTTGTGTTGCATACAGGAGCTGAGGTTGAACTCAACTTGAGATTAAGGTTTCATTTGGGATGGATTTCTTACTGCTTCTTAAAGCGGCTTTTCAGTATAAATATTAAAAAATTTGTACTAAAAAGCTGCTTTAAGAAGCAGTAAGAAAGCTGTCTTAAACGAAACCTAAATCATACCGGTAACTCTGTTTATATGTTGAAGTACATAATATCTCTGGGTTGAGTTTTTTTAGAAGGAAAATATCTAAACAGATAGATTTTTTGTTGGTGCTGTCTTGCATCCTACATTTTAGATTATTGTATGGGCATTCGTATGCTTACACTTTGTTGGTGCTTTATGGAGATTTGCAGATTGTAACTAGCATCTTATCCTTTCGGAGGACCAAAATTGTAGTCCTCTTTCGTGATAACTTCATGTGAACATGCATAAGTAAATACAAAGAGAAACTTATGTTGTTAGCTTTAATAATAGCTTCTAAATTCTAGTTCCCCTAACGAGGGACTAAAGAACTGAATTTCCCTTAATCTTTTGCCATCTTTTTTGTACTTCTAAATCTGAACTTTTTCTCTCTTTTCACTGTTGTTGCCCTTCATTTGTTGTGGAAATGGATGAAAGTTGCTTCATACATTTTCTTGTTAGATTGTAGAAATGGATGAAAGTTACTTCATACATTTTCTTGTTCAATATGACAAGTATTTTTGTAAAATCCGAGCAATGCAATTGAAGGCCCTACACGATTAGGCACAAAGTGAGACCATAATGTCCACTTTGGCTTGTGTCTAGGGCCTCTAGGCAAGTACCTTTAAGTTAGACACAAGAAATGAGGCTAATGTCTTTTCTTGACTTAAAAGATAGGTTCTAAAGCTTCAAATGCAGGAAATAAATTTGCTTTGATGATATTTTGACCTGACGTGGTATGAACAATGCATACCAGGTGAAACAATTTTTACATACTAAGAAAAAAAGTTAGACTAAATTTAGTGTAAAAGCTGCTTAGTTTAAGCATAATGAATTTTAGAGAAGAAGAAGATTGATTGACTATGATGATATAAAAGGAAAGATAGAGAGCTAGAAACTTGCTACTAGAAAATAGTACATCAATGTCAACCAATCTACAAAATAATAAAATATTGTGGCATCTAAATGTCAACATATTATCACTAAAATAAGATATTTATTTTTAATTTATTATTTAGAGAAGTCAAAAATCAGACACCTCATATCTTAATAACATGACATAAAGTTGCACTATCAGTGAACAAAATTTCTCCCAAGTTGCATCTTTAGCATTCTTTAAATTGTATTTTGGGCAGTATGCCTTTACTTCTTGTCTCAAAGCACAATTGCTTACGAAATTTGCCTCATCATTTACTTGGAGTTATAGAAAAATCTTTCAACCATATATTACTCATGCTCACTCCTTGCAAAGGAAGCAACCAAATGTTTCTCTGCATGATATGTTTCTAAGTCACTTCTTTTCAAGTATACTTGGATTTGCCATTGGTTAAGGTTTTTGATATGACATTTCTTGCTGTAATACACCATCAAGTCGAGGAAAAATTATTACGTGCGGCGTCCAGATTCATCTGGAGACCAATAAAAATGCGCCATGTCGCCCAAAAAACGTATCGCACTCGGTACCGCTCAGCACCGAGCGCGTAACCGGACGAGAGAACCGTCCAGTGTCCGCACATAATAATAGCTCCAAGTCAAGGCCCATTGCTTGTTTCTTTAATATTTCTATTTCACAAATTTTTTTCCATTAAATTTATCAGTATTGTAATTTAACTTTATCATAGAAACATTTGCCTGAACTAAAAGAGGACATTGGCATGAGCATCTATGAAATTTTCTTTTGATAGGTTTGACTGGGTTGTTTTGTCCATGTGTACTGTTTGGTCGTAACGTGGAGAGGATTAAAGAAGATATTTCATGGAGACAACCATGCGTTCTACATGCTATCTGTGTAGAAGGAGGTGTTGCACTTGCAGCTGCTACAGCAATATTCCATGGTGTTGACCCTAGGACTTCATTTCTTATAGGAGAAGGACTATTGTTTGGTTGGTGGATGTGCGGTATATACACTGGTATATTTCGGCAGTCTCTGCAGAAGAAATATCATCTCAAGGTAGTGCGCTCTCTCTCTCTCTCACGAAAAATTATTATGTGCGGAAGCTGAACCCCGTCTTGATAACTAAGCCCGCAGCCCAGTACCGAGGCTCAGTACTGCTTGGTACTGCGGCTCAGTATCGCTGACGTGGCTCATCTTGATTGGTATTCGGATGTAGAGTTGCGTTCGACGTCCGCATAGAATAATCTTCTCTCGTCTCTCTCTTTCTCACACACACAAAATGATAAGCCTTTTGTAACATAATATAAGAAAAATTATGGCCATATCATTCAAATCTTCCTTGTTTACTAACATCCTATCCAAAAAACAACTCTTGAAATTTACTGAAAGTGAAAAATGTTGTGATTTTGTTCCAAAACTAACATAGAGCTGATATTTGTATTTGTATGATAGTTTTATAAATATGAAAATCAACCCAATTGTATAACAAACATTTTTGTTACAAATAAGTTTTTATGTTCTTACTCTTACATATTTCTGACCATGGCCTGCTTGCTTCTCTTCCGTGTTCTTCTGATGGGTAGAACTCTCCATGCGACCCTTGCATGACCCATTGCTGCTTCCACTTGTGCGCAAACTGTCAAGAACACAGGGAAATGAAGGCTCGTCTGTCTGAAAGCACTGTTACTCCAATGACAGTCGTTAATCCACCTGCCATTCAAGAAATGAGTGCAAATCAGAACCAGGAATCTGTAGCATCTGGTAATGGTGGGCTTCAGAATCAGCATGCAACTACTTTGGAGATGCAGGCTTTGTAGGAATGCTTAGGATTTCTTTACAGATTAAGGTTTCGTTTGGAACAGCTTTTTTGTGGCTTTTTAAAATAGTTTTAGTATAAAAATTTTAATTTTTGTATTAGAAAATTGTTTTAAGAAGCATAAAGAAAGTTGTTCCAAATGAAGCTGAAGACAAGTGATTTGATACTTGGCTCAGTTTATACAGCTGATTTTTTTTTTTTTTTTGTTGTTGAAGAATATCTCCATCAATACAGTCCATTTCTTGATTTCCCTTTGATTATATTTCAAATGGAAAGTTTATGCTGAACTATTCTTTTTATTATTTGGTGCTTTGAGCCCATTGCATGTTTCTGAGCAGTTAAAAGGTATAGAGATATTAGCACATATGATGTAACATCAAAGTTTTTTCTTGTTTACAACATATATATTATTTTTTTATAACTATTGGATTCATGTATTTATATGTTTCACTCTTAAATAATAGAAAATATGATAAAGTGAAAAAAAAAAGTTATTTATTTGTGAAATTTTAATATTTTGATGAAAATTTAAAAATAGTGATAAAATGATATTGATTTTATAAAGAATTAAAATTTAAGTGTTATAATGTATATGAAATTAACATTTAGATCATTTTTTAAAACATTAAGCTCTTGTATTTATTAAGTCCATCCACTGATTGAGAATTTTGCAAAGGTAAAAAAGTATGGATTAATATTATAATATTTAGACAAAATTTTGGGAAAAAAATGAAAATAGAAGGGTTTTAATTTTTGAAATGGTTAAAATTTTGATTGAATATGCTTGAAAATAATATTTATTGGGATTGGGTTGTAGGCCAGTTGGTTGGCCAAAGAATATTCCTGATCTCGACCTCGCTCGAATCCCACTGTGGGGTTGACTACATGAATCCTTTTTCTCTATAGTGTCTTCTTAAAGGTTAAATTCTCATCTAAATTTAATAAAAAATGTCATTTATAATAATTTCTAACCAAATCTTTTTAGGTCTACATCTACCTTTTTTTAATATAAGTCGAATCTAATACATCTACTTTTCTAACCAGGTCATCGGAAGGCCGCCACTTTATTTGACCAAACCATCTAAGACGACTCTATCTAATCTTATCTTCCACTTGAGCTACCCCAATCTTTTTACGTATACGCTCATTTAATATCCTATCTTTAAGAGTAAAGCAACTCATCCACATGAGCATTCTCATCTCTGCAACACTTAACTTACTATTATACTTCTCTTTTAATGGTCAACATTCTGCACTATAAAGCATTGGAAGCCTCCCTACCATCTTATAGAATCCCCTAATATGAAAACAAAGAAACAATAAATTGATTGGATACATTGATTGCCACTGCTAAAACTTTGTACAAAAAGGAAAACAGAACTGTACAAATCATGAACCTAGTATTATTAAATTAGTCAAACAGAAAGTTGAGAGTGGATTTATCTGAATGCCACTGGCAACAATTGATATGAAGAAATAAGTGAAAATAAATTTCTTACTTTTAATAAGCAGACAACACTTCATCAATTGTTACAAAACGGCCTTCTTTGATGGAGAGCTGGCCAGCAACTCCTATGGCTACAGAGAGCAGACCATCATTCAAATCAACAGCAGGAGAACCATCTGAGCTGCTCTGAGCTTTAACAGCAGCTAAGAAATCCAGGTGCTCCAGATAGCTGGATCCATGATGCAGACCTTCATACCTGTTAAAAAAACAATAAAATCATCACTACTCTCATAGTAAAATAGGCTCAGACCTTTAGGATGGTGAGGAAGAATTGTAGGCCATTTTTTAGCACAATTACTGCACATCAAAATCATTATGAAAAGCCTAAAAATCTGATAGGAAACACTCGTAGATCTCAAGTTTTTCCTATCCATCTTCGAAAAACAGCGAGATTTCTCCACCAAAATCTACACAAAACCATGAAAACAGTAGATAATTTGTATTATTTGATAAAAAGGAATTGGAAAATACCAAGATACAATTGATCCACTATTCAAGAGGAGGATCTATCTCTCCCAATCTCTAGATGCCGCTAGAGCCCAAAGGAAAACCTAAATCTATGAGAACTCAAATTTTAGCCAAATTCAAGATGTCCTAACCCTAGGAAAACAAACTATTTAATACATAAATTCAAAAGGAAATCTCTAAACAATCCCTAAATTCAAATTTCCCTCCTAACTCCCTCAAAAATCCGTCTTATATTGCTCCGTGGGATTTGCGGTTCAGTCGGCAACATAGGTAGGCGGAAAACGTCCGCCTGTTTCGCGTGATCCAGTCCATACGGGACCGACTGGACCGGTCTAAAAAGGATTGTCAGAAAAGCTTAAGAGCTACTTTGTGATATACTCAAAAGATCCAATGTGTAGAGTCTAAAACCCACTACAACAAGCAATTTAGCACTATTGAAGCAAATTCAGATCTACTATAATGTTTCAGTACACAATAATTGACTCTTCTTAAAACAATCAGGACTGTTGAAACCAATATTTTTTTTGGGGACATTTAGGGGCTGTTTGGTAGAATCTAGGATTTCATTTAAGTAGGATTTCGTAAATCTTCCAAATCCGGATTTACGAAATCCCGAGGGGGTTAAATCCTGAAAACTGTTTGGTAACATTCATGATAAATTCAGTTAAATCTTATGTGACTAATTGGTTGTTCAATTCAGGATTTAAGGCAGTTAAAAGAGTTGACATACATTATTAGAACAATTAAAGTATGACAAGAGAAGTTTAAATAAAATATAACAAAACATTATTAATACTAACTAATTATTTAATTAATTTCACTTAATTATTAATATTTTAAATTATATTAATTAAATTATCCAACAATTAGAAGTAGGTTTTACTTTCCCTTCCTCTATTTCGTTCGGCTTTGTTCCTTCACACGAGCGTAGCACGAGTTCTTCTTCCTCGCCGTTCGACTTTGCTCCTTCGACAATATTACCTTCCTATTCTGTTGGATCGGAAGTTACGACATTTTTTTGATATAAAGCAACAACGGGAGCTCGCTTGCTGTGAAGGTAACTTTCTCCCTTTCGCGAGTTTCTTCGACCAAATCACGTAAATCCACCGAACCAAAGGATTTCGTAAATCCGGGATTTACCATGAAAAGAGGGAATTTTCCGTCAACCGCGGCTTTGATTTACCATGAGATTTGATTTTGCATTTTAGGCCGTTTGGCTGGATTTCGCCCAAATCCGGCCTAAATCCGCATACCAAACAACCCCTTAGGTCAATTAAGGCAAACTCGTACACACATCGCATATACAAAGACTCGAACCCAAGACCTCTTAGTTGATAGTCTAAGCTATCATCCAATAGGTCAAGGTGAGCTCTGTCCTCTAATGATAATTACTAATGCATAACGGAACTTTGGATGATAAACATGGCAGGCAAAGATGCCATTTTTAGCTCATAAATTGGGCAAGCATTTATAGCATATGGACATTCATTGAGATACTGATTGATGATCAATGATGGAAAGACCTGCTCTAGTGATTGATGAACAATATCCGTTACTTTTGAAGCATGTCAAGTTATACAGACCAATTAACACTGATTAGATGCACATTGCTTATAAAAGAAAAGAGTTCATAGTGTATATACTTTATTCTTTTGTCCTGAGCTTCGAATGTTCTGACTCCAGGTCTCCCGTCTGATCTGCTTCCAACTCGCACTATACTTTCAGGAACAAATGCCTCTCCCTAGTACAAGTGTCAATAGTCAGAATAAACTACCAGTAAAAATGCAGTACAAGCTATGTATAAAGATGATATTGTAAAAGAAAGGACCACAAGGACTAAGACTTCCTGATTTTAGTTGTTGTTTTATCTAAGGAGGCTTTAAAGAAATAGAAACAATTAACAAGCAGAGGAGGGCAATATCCTTTTAAAACTAAGATAAATGACTTTCATTATGATCCTTAATGTTATCTTACGAAGTTTATTACAATAAATAATTTTCTTTTATTAATCCTATAGTTAATGGTTCATTCAACCAATAACAAAAAAATCTTTCTAGAGGAGTTTTAGGCTTCTTTTGGGACGGCTTTTTTACTGCTTCTTAAATCAACTTTTTAGTACTAAATTTTTTGTTTTTGTACTAGAAAGCTATTTTTAGAAGCAGGAAAAAAGCTGTCACAAACGAGGCCTTAATGATCTAGAAGAAGCCCCAACCTTAAAACTAAGACATTTAAGGTCTGCAATTTTACATGAATTATCCAACAGCTTCCAAAATCCTAGGAAAGCTTCCAAAAATGAAACTAGGAATTTTACAAAGATAGGGAGAAGCCTCCAGCACCATATTGCATCAAAATTCAAGCGTGGCTCTATATGAAATTTAGGACTCTTTATTTGATATTTTTTTTAATTGCATTTAATTTGAATGTCAGTTAGCATGTTAGAATATTTAGGTTTACCCTTAGGCTTTGCTGTGAAGCCTTTTAAAGTGGACCCCAAATTTTGGTTTTATAAAAAAATCTGCTCTCATGCCTGGATGTTCATCAAAGTTTTGTGTTGACAAAAATCTCAACCAGAACGGACTAGTTGATTTTAAAAAATGCCTGTAAGTTCCAAAGTTTACCACTCAAGGTTCAAATTTTCATGAAAATCCAAAATTCAATATCTATTAAAATTTAAATATTTAAGGTGAAATTAGTCATTTAACCTGCTAAATCATTAAGAAAAGTGTTATTACTTTCACTTAGAGGTGTAAGTGAGCTGAGCCGACTCGACTTGTTAACGAGCTTGTAAGCTGAGTTTATCGAGCCACGAGCTCGAGTTCAAGCTTGATGAGACCCGGCTTGTGAGCTCACGAGCCGGCCGGAATCTCTATTAATGTTTTTTTTTTTAATAATTTTATTTATTTATTATATTCAAAAATCCCACTTGATATTACCACTTGGGTTTTGATATTCCCGAATCCCGCTTGCCAATTCGCGTGGGAGCTCAGAACGAGGCGAGCGCGTGGAACAAGGCGCGCACATGTGGGAGCTCGCTCCGTTGCGGAAGGCGGACATTCTTCCACGAACGACGGGAGGCTCGCTCGGTCGCGTAGGCCGACGACACGGAAGGCAGCTTGGACCGCCGAGGCTCGTGAGCCAGCTAGACCTCGTTTACAGTGGGATGAGCACGAGTTTGAGCCAGCTTTCTGACTGACGAGCCGAGCTCGACAGTTTCATTACTCGACTCGACTCGGCTCGTTTACACCCCTACTTTCATTTGTGAATATCTAACTAGAAATCTTTCAATGGCCATTGAGAGTGGCACAAAGAATTCTAAAGAATCCTTCTGAATTAGGGGTGTCAATTCGGGTCAACGGGTCGGGTTCGGATCGAACCCAGAACTGACCGGCACTATTCGGGTCAACCCGAACCCGAAATGGGTCAGGTTTATGGACCCGAAACCGACCCGATTCAGGTCCGAGTCAAACCGACCCGACACGAATGACTCGAAGTTGACATAAAATTGCTAGTTTTCAGGTCAAAATTGGGTCAATCCTCGATTTTTGGGCCAAAATCAGGTCAATCTCGGGTTTCCGGGTCAAATAGGAGTTTTCGTGTCAATTTCAGGTCATTTTCGGGTTGTTGGGTCAACCTGAATCCGACCCGATTTTTAAAACGGGTTGATTTGTTAAACCCAAACCCCAATGGCGGATTTACCATGGGGGCCTTGGGGGCACGGGCCCCCACTGCGTTTTAGTTAATGCTTAATTAAATACATATATTGCTATCTAATTACAATTAAAAGCAATTTTTAGGGTTCTTTTTGGGTACCAAATTTACTGCCTCTCAGGCAGGAACAATTATTACATCCTCCGACCGGACGTATAGGAACGTCCGGTCGGAGGCAAAATCCCACCAAAAAACGAGTTGTACCGAGCAAATACCAAACAATAACGAGGAATACCATCATTTGAAGACCCAATACCGAGCTATACCGAGCTATATCGAGCAATACCGAGTTATACAAAAGTTATACCGAGTTATACAAAAGTTGTACCGAGTTTTTCCTAGAAAAAAATTGGTACAACTCGGTATTTCTCGGTATCGGTACAGCTTGGTATAACTCGGTATTGGTCTTCAGAGAGCGGTATTTCTCGTTATTATCAAATAATATCTAGTTGTACCGAGCAAATACCGAATTTTTTTACGGGATTTTGCCTCCAACCGGACGTTCCTCTACAAAAAGAGCGCACATTTCCTTTAGGAACAAGAACAGAAGCGCCACGCCGCTGCTTTCATCTTCACCGCCGCTGCTTTCTTGTTCACCGCAGATCAACGGGGGCGGGCGGCGACAACAAGACCTGTGCGAAGTTCTTGTGCGGACGGGCTGGCGGCGACAACTTGACGGGACCGCTCTCCGCTGCTGCTTTCTAAGTTCCTGTGTGCGAAGTTCTTGCCACGCCGCTGCTTTCTTCTCCTTCTGAGCTCTAATATTCTTCTCATCCTGATTTCTGAAGCTGATTTTTTTATGTTATAGTTCAAGGCTTCCAGCACCGATCTTTGGTATCAATATTCATGTTTCAACCGTTAGCTAATGCCTAATGGCAGGCATCATTTTCATCTTCATTAGATCAATATTCATTTAGAAAGATCCATTAGACTTGATCTTTAGATATTAAGGAAGGAACATATATCTGTAGTGACTAGTGAAAACATAATTAATTTTTTAAGAAGAAATACAAATAGTAAGCTCTAAGCCCAGGCAAAATCCGAAAAGCAGGAAAATTTTCATATCCTTCCAGACTTTAAGTTTCACCAATGTAGCATCAGCAACATATTTATTTGATTTTTTCAATTTATATATAAAAATAAGTTCGCTGAACTCAACTTGAATTCCAACTAGAGCAAAGCCAAAATCAAATGTCTGAAGTTTTAGTTGAGGTTGTCTCACTCGACCTAAACTGGTGTCACCCTTAGCTTGATGGTGTAAAAAATTTGCTTGTAAAAATAACTTCCCATAAGAGAATTCTTGATCAAGCCGTCAAATTTTTCAGAAATGGATCTCATTATACTAGACAATTAAATTGAAAATTTTATTGTTGATATGAGATCGAATGATGCATTTATGAATTTAAAAGAACTTGGAGAACTTGCTTAGAAAATGGTGAAGACTAGGAAGAATGGTATTTTTCTTTTGGTGTTATTACTTATAAAGTTTACTTTGATATTGTCAATTGCTACAACAACAGTTGAATGAACATTTTCTGCAATGAACATTATAAAAAATCATTTATGCAATCGTATGAGACTCTTGGATGAATGACTGTTTACTTATGTTGAAAATGATATATTTAATAGTATTGACAATGACTTTTTTTTTTTGGATTTAAAATGATTTGATTGTACAACGATTTCAAAAAAAATGAAGACTCGGCAGGAGAAATTATAGATGATACATAAGAAGAATATCAAGATTTAGTTTTCTCAATTGTAAGTTTTTATTTATTTATTTATTATATATTTTATCTTTTTATAATGAATCTAATGATTAAAAAAATTAAAACCGCCTATACCGATCCCAAGCCCGAATGAAAAAGGTTAAGGTTTTTTTTTTTACTTTAATGATTTGTGCCCCCACATGAAAAAAATCCTGGCTCCGCCCCTGCCGAACCCGACCTGTTTCGGGTCCGGGTTGACCCTAACCCGGATTTTTCCGGGTCGGATTCGGGTAGTGTTTCGGGTCGTGTCAAAAATTGACACCCCTGTTCTAATAATCTGACTGTGACAAGCAAATAAATAAGCTCATAGAATGCAGCTGACCTTCCCAGTATCACCAACAACAGAAATTTCTTGTTCATTTTTACTCCCCTCAGCGAACATACAAAGATCAAGCATGCCACGAGAACCATTATTAAATTCTACAATCACGTATGCATTATCAATGATATCTGGAACCTGTGTCAAACACTTCATTGTGAATATTCAAAATACAACATGCAAGTTTCAAAGAAATATGACAAACTTTTATTAAAAAGAAGTAAAAAAGAATATTCTACAAATTAAAAGTTTCCATGTCATCTCGCAAAACTAATTACAGAAACATCATAATTAACCTTATTTCCTGAGTATTTTCCTAATATGGATGTAGCACCTTAGGCTGCTTTAAGAAACTAATAAATCATTCTCTAAGCTGTTTCTGCATATTTAAAAACTAGGATATATGGATAAAAATGATATCATATACAATAATACTTCGGAGAAGCTAAATAATAATTCATATAAGAGAACACTAGTACTATGTTTTTTTATAAGTCTTCAAATTTATAAAAGCACAGAAAAATATAATTAGTATTAGCACAAGTTGAGTCCTGTTTAGGTATAACTTACATTTGAGGTCATGCACCTCGCCGGATTTAGTTTCAGTCTACTTGGATATACAGGTAAATCGATTGGCCAATCCACCCTTGAAACATATTTTGTCTTCTTATTTTGTTAGTTTCAAATTATCTTATTTTGTGTTCTTCCCTTTAAGCCTCTTCGTTTTAGCCTAAACTCCACCCCTAGCCGCAGTCCACAACACTTCCATAACCCTAGAAACCATCCTACAAAGTTTCCTAGGCTGCCTATCATCATCCCTCTTCACCCAACATCAAATCCCAAATTGTTTCTTTCTACGTTTAAACCTTTCACCACAAATCCTAACTTCACCCAAGCCCTCCACTAGCTTCCTATATTCCATCCAAGCTCCACAAACGGACAAACCTATAAGACCCCTCCATAATTCTCAGCCAAATCCAAATCAAGGCATACCCCAACCCATCTCCTCCATTCGAGGTTGTTTGGTTTGTTGAAAAAGCAATACATGAGTAAAATGGAATACAATGTGGCCGGAATACAATATATTTGAAAAGTTTGAAATTTTTTGGATGAGTGCAAAATAAATGCAGATAATTACTTCTTTTTTTAATTTTGAAGTAAAATGAATATAGTGTCAAGTTTAATGATGGTGGTAGACGATGGTCGATCGCGGCGGGGAGCAACAGCGGAGGACAACGACAGAGATGAGTGGCGACGGCAACTAGCAAGTTGATGGAGGTGGCGGTGGTGGGCAGGAGGGTGACTGTGTTCGACAGATGGGGACAGTCAGGTGAAGATAGTTGCCTGCAGGAAGCGGAGGAGCGGCGGCTAGCGGAATAGAGGCTAGTAGATGGCTTGCTGCGGGCAGGTGGTCAATGACGCCAGTAGCAAGGGTCTGCAGTTAACGACGATAGTAAAATCAACTTACGGTGTATTTAAAATTTGGCCGATAATGATTGTTTAAAATACATAAAAATATGAACTACAAAGTAAGTTTAAAATTCACCAAAATTTTAATCTGCATTCTTTTTTCATCAAACCAAACATCCATCATTTGAAATACTTCAAACTCGCCATTCATCAAACAAAACAGCCCCTCAGCCTCCAAATAAATCCTCTTTACACTACAACTCTCAGCCATCCAGCCCTAATTCCCACTAAATGTTGCTTCATAACACCACCATCCATCTCAACCAAGAAGAGTGCCTTCTACACATAAAGATCCTCCCACCACCCCACCAACACAATTACTTGATCATTATTAAAATGAATTCAATACACCTTACTATCTTAGAAAAATTAAGATACGTGATAGGAATCATTTACTAAGGTAAATTTGATTATCATAACTGAGCTTCTAGACAGTTTATTCATCTTTTTGGGCTAAACTACAAATGCAAGAGAAACCTATTCTAGAACAAAATGGACTGTAGCATAGTGCTTGAAGTAGCTCTTCTAAATTTATCTAGTTTGGTATCCACAATTAGTTCCCTTTCATTTATTAGTAATAGATGGCATCAGATCTAGATGTACACAGCAGGAAAGTGCAATTGAATCCATGTCATGAAGTTTGCATAATTTGCAAAATAATTACACTGAAAATCCATAACATACTTTCCCCACATCACGAGCTTTTATTGCTTAAAAAAGACAATATAAATTAATCACGCTATAACAAGTCAACAATTTTAAGCACGTTTAGTAGCAACACACGGGATTTACTTAACCATCCAAAAGGGCATGTCTATTACATGAGAGATTATAATGTGTAGAGTCTGGACACATTCGGAGGTCAATCCGGACGCGCTACGTCATCCACTGCACTGTGTATTGGGTGACGTGAATCTAGACGTGTCCGCACACCACATGTAATATATTTTTTCCTATTACAGGAAAAAAAGGTACACAAATGTACAATATATGGGTGCCAAATGAGTCAATTTACCTTTCCATCATATATTTCATCTTTGTGATTGACATCAATAGACCCCGAAGCCATGACACGAACTGGATTTGCAGCTGTAAATAGTCTCATCAAATCAAAAAAGTGACAGCATTTCTCAACCAAGGTTCCACCAGTGTTAGCATTAAATCTGTTCCAATTGTTTACCTGTACTACTCTTATATAAGAAGGTTAAAAGATCTAACATTATAAACAACCAAATGTTAATTGCATCATAGAATCCCATTGATCTGATGAATACATTTTACATATTAAGTCAACTGTACCTTAACCAAAAAAGGGAATCGATGTTCACGAATAGACACCATTTTTATTTGTCCGATTGTTCCACTTTGAACTATCTCGATAAGTTTAGCTACTGGAGGCATATACCTATACTCCAAGCCAACTTGAACTAATATCTCGGGCCTTTTTGCAGCTGCTTTCACAACCTATAAATAAGAAGTAGCACCATACTTACAATACTAAAAGAGTAGATGATGTAGGGGACGGGATGAAGGGGAAGATAGAGCTTAACAGCAAGGGAGAGGGGGTTTGGTGGCTTGCTGATCAGGTGGTGGGGTGTTGGAGGAAAGCCGGCGGCTAAGGGGGAAGGGAAGAAGAAAAATAGAAAAGAGAAAGAACAAAAACCAAGAGCTCCACCAAGGGGCTGTTGGGTATTGGGTTGAGCCTCTCCTAGGCCAATCCTCACGCGAGAACTCACAAAGAGAACTCCAGAACTCACAAAGAGATCCAAAATTTCAAAATTTTCATTAGCAATCATCATCCTCATTACATAAGAAATGGCCATATATATAGGCCTCAAAATGACAAAGGAAACGAAAGACTAAAATGCCCCTTGGGCTACAATAGAGACCAGATACCCATAAGGGCAAAAACGGAAAACTGAAAGAAATAAAATAAACTATTACATAAAAAGACTCGAAATAAAACTCCTGATCAAGGTCGTTGATCTCCGGCGTCTCCGATGGTTTTAAAAAGATGTCCTCATCAGTAGAATAGTAAAACAACAAATCCATATATTCCGAGTTGCTTGCCATAAAAATCCCTATATAAACATGATAAATTGATTTTAAAAAAGAAGCAACCAATAAATCACAAATCACCTTTTTGCAATCCTGCACAGTAGTGCATAGGGGCTTCTCTACCAGAACATGATGAGGCCTTGGATGTTTGATAATATCCATCAGAATCTCAAAATGGGTCATATTTGGAGATGACACCACAACCACATCGCACAACCCACTGTCAAGCAATTCTCGGTGTCCCTTAAACACCTAAAATAGCATTCTACAATCAGACACCATATTACATAAAATAGCTCCCAAAAAAAGTTCCGAGCAGCTGAGATATACGACTGGGAAAAAAAATACCCTCTAATTGTAGTACCTGGAGAGGAGGGAACTGCAGAGAAAGGGAAAGGTCGACGGCGAGGTTGAGAGACGGAGGATGGGGATCGGCGACAGAGGTGAGAACGGCACCCTCGCTGCGGAGGTAGGAGAGATTAACCATGTGCTCCCTCCCCATCATTCCCACGCCGACGATGCCGTACCTCACCACCGTCTCCATCGATCCGACGGCGGAGAAGCTGGAGGTCCAGTAGGGAAGGAGATCGAATGAAACAAATTATTACGTGCGGAGTCCAGCTGAGTGTTTTCAAGGATTTTGTTCGTATTTGTTAATTATTTATTTAACCCCATCAGCTTTATGTGGGTTGGTGGACGAGCATGATTGGAACTCTCAACTCATATTTGAATCCCCTCTCATACGAACAATTATTACGTCCTCTGACCGGACGTAGAGCTACGTTCTGCCGCCAATAACATGTCGCCGCGTGCTCTTACTCTCTACCGCGCGGCTACGACTTGACCCAGACCAGAACCCGGGAATGCTATGTTCGCGTATTGCGAGGTATTACTCGGTATTTGCTCGGTATTGCTATGTATTGCATGGCAATAACGAGAAATACCACTCTGTGAAGACCAATATTGAACAAATACTGAGTAATACTGAGTTGTACCGAGTTGTCCGAGTTGAAAAACTCGGTACAACTAGGTACAACTCAGTATTACTCGGTATTGGTTATTGTCAAGAAAAATCGACAAATACCGAGTAATACCGAGCAATACCTACCAAAATCGAGAAATACCGAGTCAACATGGGTCCGTTCCGGGTCGGGTTGTTGGGGCGCGCGGTAAATAGTGAGAACGCGTGGCGCGATTCTACTGACGGCCGAACGTAGAGCTACGTCCTGTGACCGGACCAAATAAAAGTTCCTCTTATGCTGCGCAACCTTTTAAGTTGGGAGAAAATAATTGTAGCTCGTCGAGGAATTAGTTACGCCGCAAGCGCCTCCTAATGGAGTGATAACGGATAGATACTCCGTTCTAAAAAAAAAATTGTTTAGTTTTTATTGAGTATAAATGAGTATTTATTGAATATTTATAAATACTCAATAAATCCGGATGATTCTACTGTCTAGACTCTGCAAGTAATACTTTCTTGAATGAAAGAGACGAGAAAGTATTAGATCTTTGCTATTTTTAAGTGAGTATAAAATTATGAATATAAAGATTTCATCGACATAAATAATTATGAGAATTTGGGCTTTCTTTTGAGACGGTTTTCTTACTATTTATTAAAAGTAAATTTTTAATTAAAAAAGTTTATTTTTTATACTAAAAATTTGCTTTCCAAAACCAAAATTTTATCCGATGATTTTATAGATTTATATAGATTAGAATTAAATTGGTTTAGCTACGATTAAATAGGCTGTATTTAGATTAAAAACTCTTTTTTATTTTAAAAAATTATAATATCTATATGATAAGTAGGACTAATTTGGTTCAATTATATTTATGCGCACACATTATATTACAAAATAATTGGAATTAAATGTTGTACAAATTTGTGTAAGTCATAGGACTCATTTTTATTTGCTATTTTATTGTAAAATTATTGAAATTTAATGTAAAATATAAATGTTTGCAAGTCAAGTGACTTATTATAGATGATGAACACATATGTAAATTGTAATTTTGCAAAATAATTAAAATTATATATTGTGCAAATATGTGTGCATATTATATGACTCATTTTTAAGTGTTTTGCATAGCTATGAATATTTAATAATCTGTAAAATAAGGAGAAATCTTAGAGCTCCCATATGTGTTTTATACACTTATGTGCATATGCAATTTTGAAAAATAATTGAAATTCAATATTGCACATAGACATAGGTGTGTATAAATCATGACTTATTTCATCCAATAGCTCCCATATATATGTGCGTGCATTCGCGCGCGTGCGCGCGCGCAAATGCGTTTATATAAGTTGAACTTGACAAAATAGTTGAATTCATTAATGTGCGTACAAGCTAAATGATTGGTTTTATTTGTGTGCACGCTTATGTACACAACTGTGTATGTCTTGTTGTGTGCTAGAAAATTCAAGTCAATAAAGTGAGTTTTATATGACAGCATCGTACAAAAAATTTAGTACTAACAAATAATAAGATCATAATTTTTTTATGTGGAAAACTCGAAAAAAAGAGAAAAATTACAGGGTATGGTCGAGTTTAAAAATTCAGTATGTAATAAAGTGATACAAGAATTCTTATTTCTTCACTGTTGAAGAAGAGGGGGTTTAAACAAACATCTGATTTATCTGAGGGAGATTGCAGAAATCAAGTATCAATAGAGGGATAATCTATAGAGTATAAAAGAGCTTGATTTCTCTAGCAGAGATTATAGAAGACATGCGTCCACAAACGGACATCTATACCCAACAATATGGTTAAATCTCATCATTATTCTTTAGATGGTAGATATTTCTAATGTTGATCCTCGGTAGCAATGGGGGTTGTTTACGACAATAATTGATGATGGTCATGAGCCGTGATGACTGGAAAATGCAAGAGAGCACCCTTTAGTTTTCTCTATTCGTCCTCTCTCTCATGTGGAGAATGATTCCATTTATAATTTTTTTGGATTAGCATTTTAATAATTTGAGCCAGAATCCAAAAAACTTCATCGTATGACCCATATTTTGAATTCCTTAATCATGAAGTGTTTATTCAACATTTAAGTGTCTTAATAATATCAAAATTGAGTGATTTGATCTCATTGGATTCGTCTCGTCAAACTACTCGATTTGACTATAAGCATGTCTAATCTAAAAATCATTTGGTCATCCACGTAACGCCCTGCATCTTCTAAATATGTTTTAAACCCTTGATTTGAGATTTATTTGATCTTAGATTGAATCGATTTTGATGTCATTGGATTCATATTGTCAAGACATTCAATTTGACTAGAAGTTCACTAAGATTAAAGTTCGTTTGTAACATATCAATTACTGTATTTTCAAACGTCGAATCTCTCCCAAAAAAAAAAAAAATACTGAACTTTCCAAAATGTTGCGACAAAACTATAATTTTAACTTTTTAAGAACTCCATGAAGTCAGAACTATATTTTAAGCATTCCATTCGCTTTAGAACATTTTAAATTTTTCAAAAAGGCCTGTAGGCCTATTCGGGCCCAAAATTGGGCCAGGACTAATCAGGGCCCATTTGGCCGGCTCGCCAATGTCGCCGACAGCAGCTATGAAAAGAAAAAAAAATCTTAGAATATGTCAGCCACAAAAAAAAAAATGAGGAGCTCCAAATATTATTAATAAACCTCAATAGATGCTATGCTATGAGATGAGCAAACCTAAAAATAGAGTGAAAATCTGCAATAAAAACATCCAGCATGAATGACCATTCAAATCAAAACTATACATAATACATTGAAATACGAACTTTTATTTTATCCAGTGAACGTACGCAGAGGAACGTTCGGTTTTAAGCAAAAAAAGCACCTGTACCGAGTACCGAGTACCGAGGTGTATCGAGTTTTTTCAAAAAACTCGGTACAGGCGCTTTTTTGCCTAAAACCGAAGGTTCCTCTGCGTACGTTCACTGGATATAATAAAAGTTCTTGAAATACAGATATTTTCCTATTAATTTTGAATGATTGGATTTTGAAATCACACTATAATTTCATTTGGGACAGCTTTATTACTGCTTAAAACAATAAGAAAGTCATCACAAACAAAGTCTATATTAGAAAAATCACAACAACAACAACAAGCCTTTATCCCATTATGTTGGGTCGGCTGCATGAATCATGTAAGAGTCAAATTATCATCTAAATCTAATAAAGAAAGATCATTTCTAATATTTTCTAACCAAATCTTTTTAAGTCTACATCTACCGTTTTAAACATAAGTCAATTCTAATACATCTACTTTCCTAATCGGATCATCAGAAGGCCGTCGTTTTATGTGACCAAACCATCTAAGGTGACTCTCTAATCTTATCTTCCACTGGAGCTACTTCAACCTTCTCACATATATGCTCATTTCGTATCATATCTCTAAGAGTAAAGCCACTCGTCAACTGGGAGCATCCTCATCTCTGCAACACTTAATATTATGCTTCTGTTTTAATGACCAACATTATGCACCATAAAATATTGCAGGTCTCACTAGAAAAATCACAAAACACATGAAAATTATATAACTCCCTCCCACTCTCTCTCTCTGTCTAAGAAATCAAATTACTCATCATGCATCACAACAAAGTGCTGTAAAAACTCATAATCTGCACAAGTACTAGTCATGAATAATTTACAGTAACCAAAAGTATATTACAGTCAACAATCAAGTTTCAAATCATGAAGCACATTCAAGAGCACTTTCCCACATATAAAAAGATGCATGTAGTTTCTTCTTGGATGCTCTCAAGGACTAACTATAGCAGATGCAGCAGAAACGCAACTTCTTCAAGGAACTACTCTTTAGAGGATGGCAACGCTCAAGTAATCCCCAATCTTCAAGGAAAAAAAATCAACCATATATATATTTGCTTTCATAAAAATTAATTTTTAGCACAATATTTTTTATGAAAAGCGCTTTCTATACAGTAGTTACCTGAAAGCTGAGTTCATCCAATGTCTTAGCATCATCAATTCGCCTCCCATTTCCAAAAGAGTAAGTCATTCCCACCTTTGGGCAGGAAACAAAATTAGTATCTCTATCATATGACGCATTTTTATGACCGTTAGATTTAAAATTTCAAAAGCCAAGGGAGTATATCAAACTATTCAACAACGAAAAAGGAGGATTAAGCCAACCCCAGCTTGAGTATGACTACTTAATTGAGCTTGAGCTAAGTTTTCAACTGCAAATTGACTCCTGAGTCGGCTCATTTATATTATAAAAGAAAGATGATTATATATAAAATAAGTTATACATGATCAATGGTGGATAAGAATAATATACAATGTATTCAATAAATAAGAAAAAAAAAATCCTAGGATTCTGCGCGTACATAAAATTAATATAAATTCATAAATTAATGCTTCAAAGCTCACAAACCAAAAAATTTATATACTAAAGAAAAATTAGGACATTATAAATAAAAAAATAAATATTAAGAAATATATATGTGGAAAATCAAAACAATACACTTTATGTAGCATTCAAAATGAATGAATAAAAAATGAAGACTCGTAAAATAGTTGACAAAAGACTGATAATGATGAAGATGAGCATTTTAAGCAATTATTTTATATAGGAAAAATAATCAAAATAGCCAGAAGACTTTTTATGTGTATTCATTTTAGATGAAAAATTTTCAATTGTTCAATTTAATCTTTCAACTAACCAAATCTAAATCAATTTGATCTGATGATTAACTTTGTAATTTTTTAGATGAAATTAATGGGAAACTTTTAATGAGGGCATTTTAAACATTTTAAGATCAATCTATTTAGTTTGAGCTAATATAAAGTAAAGAAGTTGATACTAAAATGTTCTAAAATACCATCATGGATAACTTCACTTAACCAATTTTAATCCAAAAAAATGACAAAGTTGGCAATATGAACAAATATATTCGAATTTGGTGAATTAAGGGACCAGATTGAACATTAGGAAAAATACAAGACTAAAATAACACATCTAAAAAGTTTAAGGGCCAACTTGATTGATTACTAATTTTATTTATCTCAATTAACTATTTTAAATGCTAACAATATATTTATAAGCTTAATTATATTTGATCATATTTTGATAGTTGACATGGTTTCAAAGTGTGTATTTTTATATTAAGCTTAAATCTCCCTTATTATACTTAAGCTGAACAATATTGACTTTTGGTTCAAATCTTTATTTTCATATAAAACCACTTGGAATGTGTTTGTTATAATTAATCAAGCATATGTTTTGGCTTGCATTAATTTTGGACTTGTAGTTATTTATTGGTCAAAGCTGTATTTTTTATTTTTTACTCAAATAAATTTTTTAATATGTCAAAGTTACTATTTTCCCTTAAATTTTTTATAGTGTCTTAATAACATATTCAAATTTCTCTAGAAAATATTTTATAAGCAAAAAAGTTCATTTCATATATTTAAAGCATCATGCAAAGTTCCATTAGATTTTTTTTTTTTAGAGGAAGTTTAGCAGGTGCTAAATTAACTTATTGGCTTTGAAAACACTCAAGTACAGGGGTTTTGGCCTCTTTCCATATGGATACATATATGAGCGTAAATGAGAAACCATTAATCCGGTGGATTTGAAAAGATTATGAACTTAATGGTTGATCATTTGGAAGAATTTCAAGGTGTTCATCAAGTAATCCTCGCATAGATGTTTTTTGTATTATCTCTTCCTCAACCTCTTGTTTATTTAATTGGTTTCAGATATTTGAATATCTTGCAATCATGTATAAAAGATTGTGTATATCTTAATTGTTAGTATTTATCTTATACAACATCAAAAAACCATGGAAGGTTTTAGACAAACATTCATCTTATAATCATGCTGAATTTGTCTTACCCATGAGAATTCTTGTAGTTCATGACATGTTGGAAACTGTCATTAAAATGAGAGCCTCACTACTGTGGGGTATTGTAGTGAAATTATAAGTTAGGGTACTTTGGCATAGATTTAGGCCAGTTGGGTATCAAATCATGTAAAAATCATCATATCTATTACTTTATAGCTAAATTTTTTTCACTTAAATATTTTAGGGCTTAATTTGAATGTTTTCAAGCTTTATGGGATGATTAGAAGGTTATGCAAACATGTCATTATGTTAGTTGAGTAATTTTTGTATTTATACACAAGATGGTCATACTCTCCCTTAACATTTTATATCCTTCTAATCATCATTGTTAACATGTGTGGGTACTCATAACTTAGATTTATGTTTGATGTGTTGCAAGAATAGTAGCTTGTGTAATTGAGTTGATCCTACATTATTATGATCACCTTCTAAATTACTAACACATGTAGCTCACTTTGTCTCAATACCATTATACATTTTATGTTTGTGCACTCGTAACTTATATCACTTACTCACAAGTTAACATGCTAATATTAACTAGATCACTTATGTTCAAGTTTTAGCATAACACATCTTGTACACTCCCCTGCAATCCCATGTGTGTTTGATTTATTTACTTGTATTTAATATGCATATTGTGTGCGGGTTGAATTGAAATTTTTTTGAAAGACATTCTAAATGTATGTCACACACTCAATTCACACACCCATCTTGATGTGCTTAGACTCAGGTATAAGAATCTTAGCTCTTGGTTTGGATTGAGACACTAGGATTCTAATAGTACATACAATGTCGGGTAGGTCTCCTATGAAAGCTATACATCTATTGAGCGGTTTGATGGAGAAATGTAGGGAGAATAAGGAGGATCTATATATGACATTTATTGATTTATTGAAAGTTTATGATATAGTTCGGAGAGAAGTGTTATAGAGAGTTTTAGAAAAGAAAGAGGTACTGCTTCTACTCAAGTTATTAAGGAAATGTATACAAGAGTTATTACTTGTGATCATACACGAGGAGGTTGGACCAAGTATTTTCCTATTTCAGTTGAATTATATCAAGGATCAGCTTTAAGCCCGTATCTTTTTACTTTAGTCATGGATGTTCTTAATACTCACTTGTAGGTGTTAATAAAACTAGAGAAGGAATTGAAGGTAAACTTAAATTATGGAGGTCAACCTTAAAGTTTAAAGGTTTTCGTTTAAGTAGATTTAAAATCAAATACATAGAGTGTAACCTTAGTAGTAATAGATCTAATGGGTGGTTTGTGACTTTGGGTGTCCAAGTCATTAATAAGAGTACACATTTTAGATATATCAGGTTTATTGCCCAGAATGATGGTGAAATAGATGTGGATATTATTAAGTATAATTCAAGCTGGATGGTTGAAGTGGAGGAATGTATTGGGTTTGTTGTGTGAAAGAAAAGTACCTCTCAAATTTAAGAGAAAATTCTATAAGATGATAGTGAGACCTACAATATTTTATGGCGCAGAATGTTAGCTATTAAAAGAGAAGCATATAATTAAGTTATGTTTTGCAGAGATGATGATGCTCGGGTGGATAAGTAGCTTTACTCTTAGAGATAGAATGCAAAATGAGCATATATGTGAAAAGGTTGGAGTAGCTCCAATAGCAAATAAAATTAGAGAGAGACACCTTAGATGGTTTGGTCACATAAAATGTCATCCTTCTGATGACCCGGTGAAGAGAGGAGATGTTTTAGATTTAGCCTATGTTAAGCGAGGTAGAGGTAGACCTTAAAAGGCTTAGATTAGAAAATATTTAAAATGATATTTTTTTATTAAATTTAAATGAGAATTTGACTCTTAACATGACACAATGGAGAAAAAGGATCCATATAGCCGAACCCACAGTGGGATAAAGGCTTAATGTTGTTGTTGATGTTGTTGGACAATTCATTGATAAACCAATATTGCTTGATTATTTGTATTTTGATCATTGGAAAATCGAATGATTATATTTGAAAACTCTATTAATCCTAATTCCTAATCAATGATATGTTATTATGAATGGCTACACATCATCTTATATATATGTGTATGATACTTATCTGGAAAAAATCTTTTGATTTGTGATATAAACATGAAATAGATCTTGCACAATTAAATGCCAAAGCTATTATATGTTTTTATTACGCAAGTTCACAAGAAATACAAATGTTTAATGCTAATTAAAAATCTCTAAAAGAAGCTTTGGATTTTCTTTGTTTTTATTTATGAATATATTAGAGTACCTATGAAGGAAAAGGAGGCAGTAAAGAAAAAAAGAAGAAAAGTTGACAAACGAAATTAATAAAATGGAATAAATTCATATTGGGCTTTTAGCTCATGTTGAAGAAGCACAGTCCACCCTCTTCTAAATATATTAAAAGACGAGCTAATTAAATTATCCTATGATAAACTATCTAGTGTTGTTGATAATTTGTTTGATGAGTATGAAAAATTAACAAGGAAATATATTCATGTCAAAAAGGAGTCATCTAACTTTGATGATATGATTCATATTTGAAAAAAAATGAAAATGAATCTATCAAGCATAATATGATTAAATGAAAATTTAAATCATGTTTCATCCTAGAAAATGACAATGAAAAACCTAGAGATGAGGTTGCTAATTTGAAATGAAAACTTGTTGATTTACCTTATTTTACTATCACTTCTACATTTGGATGCTAGTTCATCTCATAAAAAGCGTGATAACAAATTTAGAGTCTTTTATACAAGTTTTGCCCAAAATCCAATACAATTTTTATAATAGATTGTGCTTTTAGATCTTTATGCCCTACTAGTTCTCCATCTTATTCAGCAGGAGAAAACTTCATTACCAAATAAAAATTAGAGAAGGTACTCTTACCGGTCTTACAACAAAACGACCATTCTTGTCAGGGTAGACGAATGCAAATGAAAGTTTTGCATCTCTTTTCCTAGCTGCAGGAGCCACCTCTTTGACCTATCAGGTGATGACGATAAGAATCAAGATGAAAACTTTCACTTGCTAATAATAAAACCATCTGCACTGTAGAAAATAGGAAATGCCATAACAAATACAGATAGTTGCCAAATGTATACCAGATCAGTGAGCTCTCTAAGTGTAGCATCCTTCCACGTATAAATCTGGACTTCATCCTTAGGTTCCTTGCCCCTAACTGCGAAGTCCTCTTTGGGATGGTGGCCACCAACCTACTGAATCCAAAAAGCACCGAAGTTAAAGTAAACCACCTATGCAGTATCAATAGCAGAATAAAAAAACAGATGGGAAAGAAAATTCATTTAAAAATATAACTCTCATTCAAAATAAGCTTAGAATCATTCACTGATACTTGTAAACTTATTATTGAATTAAAAAAATGAAATTAGCCATGACGGAAATATTTAACAGTGCAGCGAACAAAAACTGGAAAAAAAAAGACGTTCTTCTACAAATCTAGAATATGCTAATGTCTGCCTTTAGAAAAAAAGTTTCACAACTCGGTGCTTCAATTGATGGTACCAAATCATTTATCAAGTAGACTAGTTATTTTTGAGTTGAGCATTTATAGGTATACGTATTCTCTCATGCCAAATGTTGGCTAGGCATGTATAAGTTGAAAAGAGAAGATATTTGATATGAGCTATATCATTCAAGACCAAGTTAAAGAGAAAAAACAATGGATATCATCAGGCTATCAATGGGATGTCAATGAATATCAAGTTGAATATAGAAGACTTTTGATTATTATTTTTATCTTCTCTGGAATACATGCAAAGCCTTTCTTTAAGGTTCTCTTTGTCGTGGAATGATTTCAGGTAATATTTGGGTTATAATTTTCCGGAATGACACACGTGCATATATCGAAACATATATATCTTTAGAAAACTCCAAAATTATGTCATGGCCTTTCTTGAAATGCATTATTTCGCATTTCCTGCATTATGCATAGATACCACCCTGAACTTGAACATAGTTGACCCGGTTTTAGTAAAAAAATTAATTAACTACATTATTTCTATTTTTTAAGCTAAAACTTTTTGCACATTGATTCAATTTTATTGATTCTTGCTTTTCAAGTAGTAAACATTCTTTTCAAACATATATAGTTCGCCTTATGAATCATTTACATGTGAACGGACCTTTTATCAGATTCAGACTTAGTTTGGGGCAGCTTTCTTACTACTTTTTTAAACAATTTTCTTATATAAAAATTAAAAATTTGTACTGGAAAGCTGCTTTAAGAAGCAGTTAGAAAGCCGTCCCAAACGAAGTCTCAATCTGACAAAACCCGCTTCTTAACACACAACCACTGTTTTGAACATGACTTTTTTACACCACCACAAAAGTAACGCTTCATTTATTGGAAAGTAGATCTCCAGACCTTTCGAACAATGTATTATATATCTATTACATACCAATTATACATTCTAAAATAAGCATGGCGTTTGAATTTGAATAATGAAATTCCCGCAAGGAGCCTGATCAGACCTGAGATAACACTCCAACCATTCTAAAAGGCTATTTTAAGTCTCGGGTATCTATAACATCTATATCCATCTTCGGAACATCTAACACCTTTCCAAAGGCCTAAGCTAGCACTTCATATCAAAACCATCCTTAAGCTCTCTATAACCATCCTAAAGAGTTCTAGTGCCTTTCTTGACAAATCTTCTAACCACAAAGCATTCTTTCCACTCTTTCTTTTGAGTTTTAACCACTTTCCTCTCAAAGAGAAATCAAAACATTTTAGAGATATGTGCATTTAAAGAAAGATTCATAAAGTGCTCCAAGGTTTTAAGAGATACTCTGATTGTCTAAAATGGAACTAAATTAATAAATCTCTCTAACCCTCTTCTCTCATTCTTTATTTTTCGTTATCTACTTACATTTTATTAGTATACCCTTTCTTGAAACTTTCCATTAAAAGTCCTAGATTAGCACCACAGAAAGCTTTGGTATTTTCTAGGAGGTGGATCTATGCATGATTTGTGCCAAAACATTTGAAAATTTATTGTTTCTTTTATCTTGTGATTATGTGCTTATTTTCTCTATATCCTGTTTAACAACTAAACAAAACTTTTTTTTAACCAACCGTTCATCCTCCTCTAGTGGTTGCCACTGTTGCACTACATCCCATATTTAGTATTGAAGCTTGGCTCTTAGGGATTTGACTTCAACTCATCTGAAGACTCTATCAAAACTAGTTCAACTTCATCTTATCATGAGGGTACTATATTACTTGCCTTCCATTTTTCGAAGGGAAGATTTATCTTTACTAGAAGACTCATATGTTTATATTCATTAGATCACAAGGCCTTAAGATTTAGAATATGATTAAATGAGATCATACGCCTCCTTCAAAACCTATTTAAAAATGGAGTGAGATTACAAAGCATAGAAATATTTTACATTCTAGAGCAATGAATCCTGAGTTTGTGGTTTAGAAAAAAATAAATATAATGTAGTTTCTATTTGTAAATGGCATATAAAATGTTGCAAGTTAGTGTTACTCAAGTTAGAGTACAATAATAATATGCTTGTTCACAAAATGAATTGCTCAAAATGAAACCACATAATTCTATGTTAAAAACGTTTACTAATTTTACACATTACTAATGAACTTAGTTTTCTTGGTCGGAAATTAGCTATTAAAGAAAAGATGCTCAAGGTCTTATGGAGACTACCAAGAATTTAGTACCACGTTGCTAGAAAAGCAAATAGAATCCTTGATAGCCTATGAGATGCATTTGAAAACCAAAATATATAGCTCTCAAAGTTGAAGCCAAGAAGTGTTGAGTAATTAAAGCGAGGATGCTAATGAGAAAGTTTGCATCATTAGCTTGACAAAAATGGTTGAGAAAGAAACAACAAAAGGATTGCAAGAAAACACATACACTCAAAAAAGCAATAAGATTACTCACAAGCGAAAGGACGGTCAACTTTTGAAGATATCTAATATAACAGAGGGAAGAAAAAGGGATATATTGTAAATTAAGATGAAAATGACTCTAGCTCATTTGTTTCCACAAGATTCATTTAGAATCTCATGGCATGACATCAAGAAAAAAAAAGGAAAAAACACTTCTAGATTGCATCTTCATGGTAAGTGAGTTGTCACATGGTCAAATATAAAATACACATTCTTTTAGTTAAAAAAAAAAAACTTTAGATTGCAACTCCATTTGTTGATCAATCAGAAAAATCATGTAACTTATCCAAAAGCCAATAATGTTTCATAACGAAGTGATAAGCTCACAACTTGGTGATAATTCATACATAATGCTATCCTTAGCAACTTTAAACAACTCAAAGAGAAAGAATCAATGACAAACTAGAAGAAGACAAATAAGCTTATGGATAATAGTTATTTCTTCACATAGAATTCAAGCTTATCCATACCTTGGTAAAAACTCTAAGTAGAAGAGGACAAGTCTGCAATTTCATAAGCAAAATTGTCAGCCAAAATATCATGTCGATAAATATAAATGAACAAAATAATAAATCATGTTAAACTGTAAAAAATAAAATGGGAACACAGCTACCATATAAATTCCAGATGAACATCACAGAAATTCTTGAAAGATTCACCATAAATGGCATATTATTACTAACATCACCCCACCTTCTCCACCCACCATACCCCCACCCAAAACATCACCCCGCTACTCAACTCAAGGAGGATAAATAAAAGTACTTAGTGGCTAGTACAATTAAGATTAAATAGGGAACTCAATAATATAAGAAAATTCAAGTTATACTATTAAAGGATCGTCAGACCCACAAGTTGACCAATATTGATAGGGATCCTTGAGTACACAAATTAAGGGTTCTAACCGTTGGATCTGACCTCTAGCCCTTAGATTGTAATCAATGTGCATCCTCTTCTTATTCAAGCTACCAGCCCCTCTTAGAGATTTTTTTTCATTTTTCTATAAATAACTTTGAATTATTTTCATTTTAAGCCTTTTGAATAAGTCTGCAAGTACTTACACGCTTTATACATAATCAAACAATAAAATTCAAAGTAGTTTTTTATCTACTTTTCTACTTTTTAAAATATACCAATTTGCGTAATAAACTATTTAAAGTATAATCATTGCTAACTTTAAATGCCTAGAATTATTCATGCTACTTTAGTGAGTCTTAACATTGCCAATAAAGCTTTGCAGTGAAACTTTAATATATTAACACATGTAAACATCTAAAGTAATAACTGCCCTAATCTAAACTTATTTAATGACTTGATTTAACTTTGGATTCAAACATGAAGAAAGCTACAAAAATGAGACTACTTTAAAATGGATCATACAATACATGCCAGCTATATGATTGTCACATAAAATGTTCTAAAAGCTGCAGATATCCTAATAATCAGAAGACTTCGGATACACTGCTGCTTGTATCTTTCTTCTGCTGTTTTATATATTTGAACTGTTCATACAGAATAAAACAAACTATTAAAAGAATTGCTTGTTACATTTCATCTTCTACACTCACTAGTATAACTGCCTAGTTTATGTAAACTTCTAAAGGACGTAAAAGCAAATTTCCAACCAAACTAACCAAGCAGTGATAATTCCAATTCTGCAGACGACTTCAACAATAACAAAAATAACAAAAACAAAAGGCCTAGATCGTCTGCAGCATGATATAGATTGAATTGAAGAACTGAGGATCATCCAATGTGACCTTCTTCTGCCTACTGCAATACTAATAACCAGCATCAATGTGAGTAATAAACTACAAATTCAATATTTATTTTCAAAGACTAATTTTTCCTACTTCATTAACCAGATAGACTCAGTAATTGAAATTTTAACCTGAAAAGTTAATGTTTTTTGAACTATCTGCCAACATCATTTGCTTTATAAAAACATTGCAAAACATTAATACACACTCAAAAAAAATTTTAGGAGACTAATTTTGTTCAACTTTATCATAAGCAAGGTTATCAAAATTTCCATTCTGTGCCAAGGATGAACCACTAAACTCTGCAATGTCATCTTAATTTTATTACAAACCAATTCAGGCCATTCTTCTCTATCTTACTGTGAACTAAACTTGCATCAACCTCCAAGTAATATATTTTATGGTCAGCAAGTGTGATTTTATTTTAAAAAAATGGAAGCAACCACAGAATCCCTCCCTGCAGTATGTTAGAAAAAGAATATTGTCCTGAGCATATAATAACAAAACTTCCAAATAAATTTTGCTAGTTATTTTTGAAACAATGTTCACAGATCTACCTATAAAGAAAACCAGTGCTACTTGCTTAAGGAAAATTCACCACATCTGTAAGTACCTCCCATCAGCTAGAAGATAAATGCCAAGAAAAATATTTTAGGGGGATTTACATACATACCACTTTATTTCATGTTGTTTACATATCTAACACCTAAAACTTTAATATTACATGCCTATCACCCATAGAACAAAAATAGGTCCATGTAATGAAATATTAAAATTTGTAGGGTGGTATGGGTGGTGATAATAAAATATAGGAGTGATATATTTGATATTAAAATTTTATATGGCTGATAGGAATGTAATATTAAAATATTGGGTGTTAGATATATAAATAGCATGAAATAAAGTGGTATGTATTTAAATTCTCATATTTTAGGAGTTAAGATAAAGCGATGTGGGCCCACGCAGCATCACCTACAAGTGGGAGCTCACGTAGGTGGATGTGTGTCACATTGCTCTGCCAAATCTTAACGTTGCACACACTGGTCAAGCTCAAATGAAACCCTCACATTTTGCAGTTCAGTTCAACATCAGCCCAATAACAAAGGCACAAACAGTTGCTTTTCCCAATTGGTTCACATAATCATTGAGTCGCTGCTGCTTGTTTCTCCTTTCTATCTCATTGTACTTAGTCGCTTCTCATCAATTCTCCTCTACATGCTCTCTTGTCTATTGTTTTCTTACAAGATTCTCACTAATTGTCATTAGAGGCTTCTTGACAACACTTTCCAATGTATCCTATGTAAACTTCTTACTAGTCACACTCTTAATCTCACAAACATTCTTAATTTCAAAATACTTTTTATCACTTCATTTTTCCCTATCTTTGATTTATTTTTGCTTTCAAATAACTGAAAATTATTTTCAATAATTGAATCACTGTATATGTTGAAAAAATCACTAATATGGTTTAAATTTGATTAATTAAATGGTTGTTATATGCACATAATATATGTATTTATAAAATACAAATCACAAGCAATTTCACTGGTAAAAGCGACACTTAGCTTCGTGCATTGAAATAATAACAAACTCTTACACATTGCATTGAGCTTTGAGAACACTAAGCATACATAAGATTAAATTAGTAAAGCGAGAAAAATGTAGCTAAATAGGAGAAGCGGAGCTAAGATGGGCAACCCCCACTACATGAAAAAAGTGGACATTGGTAATTGAATAATATTTTTTAATTAAAAAATGTATATCTTATACATAGCTCTATATATGACTAGCAGGACTAAAATCTATAAAAAAATGTTCAAATTTTAATTCTTATATGCCATCATATCCACAAAAAATGAACATTTTTTTCCAACAATCATGTACATGAACCCGGAGTATGATATTGGAAAAAAAAGGCTGTGACAATATATCACCTTCATCAATCTACCAATTTAATAGCAACATATTGCATTTATTATTTCTCTTTCATCCACAATTAGATTAAGTAGCTATATCATGTTTGCACCCAAATGAGCTAATGTAAATGATGTTTGCAAGAGTGCATAGGAATCACAAAGCCCGATGGAAATGATACATACTAGTTTGTTTAATTTCTCTATCAAGATAAAACATAGAATAGCATTCCTCACGTAAAGTTTAGGTGAAGAATCATCAGTTAATTTATTCAATAGTTTGTTCAATAAGTCGACAGATTACAACAACAATTTGCAAATTAAAAAAGAAAAGCTCATGAAGGTTAAAAAGTACCTTTTCACGATCAATTGGCATACCAGGACGGCGAACATGTGGTGGAGGACCTCGAGCTTGAGGTGGAGGAATGGGCCTTGCTTGCCTATTTTGTGGTTCGGCAACTTCCGCCATGTTTCGAGAATGCTGCATTTTTACAAAGCAAGCTAAATAGTGATACACATGGTAAAAATAAGAGAGAGTGAATGCTACTCATTAACTAGAAAAGACACTTACAAAAAAATATTTAAGAAACTTAATGACATGTTTATAGAATAAATATGAGAGATACTCGAGAAGAAGCAATTAACATAACTACAGAAAATCTACCACAGAATACACTTCATGTGAAGTGCAATAATAAGGATAGGGATTACAATTGCCTACTAATCCAAAATCTTTCTCACCATGTGCCCCCTTCATGACAAAGATCCTCTTCACATGTATATCCTCTCTAACACCAACATCATGACTCATGCTAAAGTAAATTCAATTTCACCAACCGACACTCAAAAGAAAGATAAGAATTGGACGCTCTTCACTCACTTGGATATTCTAATGCCACATTACCATGACATTCACACTATATCAACCCAACCACACTGACAATCTCGCTAAAGGTTGTGGCTCCATCAAAACCAATTAGAATTAACCACAAATGCTAAAATATGACTGTGATGGACAAATTTGACAAGGACTTGTTGGTTTTGCATGTACTTCAACGTAAAAGAAAATTAACAAAAGAATGGCAATTAGTCAAGGTATGAGGAAACTCTTTACCCTTTTGCATCAATTCAACAACCCTACTCACATTTCTCCTGCCATTGTTTGCCACCCCACCAATCACACATCATCAAAAAACTTCAATGAAACCTATTGATCGTGCCCTAAATTGTATGCATGGCTTTTGGTGTCTTTGATTATGGCTTACAATTTCATTGCTATCTAAAACAAAGGCAGACATGAATACTAGAAAAAAATCATTTTAAAAGGAAGATGACAATTTATTTTATAAATAGGTTCCCTTCATCAATATTTCTTAATGCTCTATCTAGGATGAATAGAAATATATAAAAAAAGGGTTAGGTTGTAGGGACACTAGTTGGAGATTCAAATCTATACTATCTATTTTAAAATTAAAAAGCAGCTTGAAATTTAGTCAAGGAGTGATCTAGGCCATTCATTATAGTTCATCCAAATAATTAATTACTACTCCAACCAATTGATTCTATAATCCAAACTAATGATTAAAATCAACCACATTTCATGATTTTAGGGATTTTTATAGAAAACACTTAAGAAGTAACAAAATGAATTTATACTTCATCCTACTTTATTATTTTACCTTCAAATTTTGATCAATAAAGCAAACTTAACACTTTATAAGTACCTTAAAAAATTTCTTTAAATAATGAAAAAACAGTTGAAGGAAAACAGATCATAGTGGAGTCGGCATGTAGAAAGAAGGGGGGTCTAAGCATAGATATGCTAGAGGAATTTAAACAATAAACGAAGATGATGCAAAAATATGATATAAGGCAAAAAATAGTTTCCTGAACGCTCTCTCACATATACCAAGCTCAAGTAGAACCAACTATTAATATATTCTTGACACAGTTACATGGTACAGATTAATTAAAAAAAAAACTTTTTTTAAAGACAGCTAATACACAGCCGTAAAAACCGGACCAAGGTTGGTAACGCCACCGATTATGATGAGGAAGATAAGTATAGACCCCGAAAAAACCATCAGTTTCAGACATTTCAAGAAAAATCGCCATCTGATTACTCTACCCAAAAAAAAAAAAATTCTTTTTGACAAAGCCGTGGTAATCTACACGAATTTGGAATGAGGAAGGGAAGATGATTAGGAATTACGAGTTACAGTCTAAGCATAGAAGCCTTGAGATACCTCGAGAAATATAAAAGAAAAGGTGAACGAGAGAGAGCCGGAAACTGCCTGAGAAGAACCTCTGCGGCTTGTGAAGAGCGGCCGATGGCCTAAGTCGGCCGAGGGTGAGAGAGAGAGTGGGGTCGCGCACTGTCGTGCTGGAGGGTGGAACCTAGGGTTTAAGGTGGTAGCTCCGGGGACCTCGTAACAGCTGGGTGACACAAAGTGAGGGAATATAACTACATATAGAGTTTAATTAGTTATGCAATATAATTTTTATATATTTAATATTAATTTACATATGAGCCTAATATGTCAATTATATTAAAATAAAAAAATATATGCATCCAAAATATATATTTTTTTAAAAAGTAATATTAATGATATTGTTATATGATTTAAATTGTTTGATTATATAAGTAAATATTAAAATTTAGGTATAAGAATTGTGTAGTATGTATGTCAATTCTCTATTTTTCAAATGAAAGGCGTTATCGGGTCGGGTCACTAACTCTGAAAAGACATAAAGCGTAAATATTAAATTAAAAAAAACGCCTAACAGATGTCGCATTTCTATTGGCGACCGAACGGAGAGATGGCTTCGGTCACCTGACCCAATAATTTGCCCAGGCAATGAGGGTGAGGGGGTAGGGGTGTGTTAAGATAGATTTCTTAACATATTTTATAAATAAATTAGTTTGAATAAAAAATCAACCCAACTATATTGAAATCGAACCAAACCTCAAATTTCTTAAGAACTTGGCACTATCATGATCCAACTCGAACAAGCCTGAACACTCAAATACCTCAATGACTTAGCTCGTCTGGATTGACTTGAATCAAACTCATACACACAAAACTATCTTACTTGGATCTGGTTAACTCGAGGCAAGTAGATAGTAGATAGGACAGGTAATACAAAGATAGTTAACTCTCCATGATTTTTTTAGAATCATGTCAAATTGATGTCTAAGTCATAAACTTATAAAGGATTACACGTCCAGCAAACAAGCCCATTCACTCAATTGTCAAGTTTGTTCGCCCTATCTTTTAGAGATTGCTTGCCCCATCCTATGAGGACTACTCACCCAGCCTCAAAACTAAATATCCTTAGCTTAGGGATCACTCACCCAATTAACAAGGTGTACTCACCCACCTTCCACCAATGATGAAAATCTCGCCAAAAAGTATATGATTTCAACCAAAAAATTGGTAGCTATATCTAGGATATATAACCTCATTTATCAAGTCAACAACTTCATTTAATAACTCGCCAAAGAAGTTGTTTATGTGTACTAATTAAAATTCAATCTTTTATTTTCACATGTAAGTAACAATCTTATCATTTACTTACTTCAACTTAAAGAGAAAATCAAGAAAAATAATATTTAGCAAAAGTTCCCTTCAATTTTGTAGTCGTATTTTCACATTGGAACTGGTATCCATTTGCCAAATTTTAACAATACATAAAACATCCACAAAATTCAAATAAGAATGTATTTCATGTAATATACAAGGAACCATAAATCATTTGAGTTCATAAACTTTCTAGACAATTAACCAACATGTTAATATTTCTGAACATCCTCATATTGAATCACTCTTAAGAATTTAGGGTTGATAAAGCCAAACGATTAGGTTAAATAACCTGGAAGTGCATCTTCTTTTTATGGGCAATTTTGAGTTGTTTAATCAAGTATATCAAATTATTAGTTAAATTGACTCGATCAAATTTGGGTCATGTTTAAAGTATCATCAAGAGACTCAGTGTCCACTATATTAGGATAATTTGGCATTTAAGATATTTCCGATTATTTGACTCTTTTAGACCCATATGGGTCAAATTGTGCTAAGTCCAATTGTCATATTCATGAGTCCAATTGAATCCAATGACTTCTAATAGCCTAGGGACATTCTATTAATGATCAAAGGATAAATTCGCTAAAATTTCAGAGTAAATTCCATTTGGGTCAGGGTGTACTAAATAGGCTTAAGAATGGAATCACTCTGATGCAATATTAAGTGAAATGAGTCATGTAATTAGAGATTTATGCTAAGATAACATCAAAGACAGCAAATAAACTTCATAAAACATTATGAACAATAAAAAAATTTGAACTATTAAATCGTGTGATAGCAAAAAATTAACAAGTAAAGGCTAAACAATAAAGATAGGTGAATTAATTTAGACTAGCTAACATGGGTTGATACAAGTCTAATATTTAAAAAAGGATTAGTCACAAGAGTTTCCAATCACTCAAATTTAAATAGGGCTTGACGAATTAATTAACACATATGAGATGATGCTACTGTAGATGAAATGATAAGATCAATATTTAGTTAGAAGAAGAACAAGGGAAGGGTTTGATACTTCGCTCATGAATGCGAGGAATGGAGTCCTTGATGAAATGATGGCTAATTCCTCCTTGGATTCCCCTTGAAACCCTTACTCTTTGATAAATCGATGTCCTCATTGCAAATGTAGATGCTAGGTTTCCTTGGAAAGGTAGAATAGTGAGGAAGAAAATAAAGTTTTCGCTATAGGAGGATTTGAACGTGGAGAAGTTAGCTTGGGAGGTGAAAATCCACCACATAAATATTATCAATAATTTTCTTCACCACTCTAAAAGGTCCAACACGTTTAGCATGTAGTTTCTTAATAGCCCCTTTCGCGAATCGTTTCGGACGAATCTGAACCATCACATAATCACCTATTTCAAAAGTTCTAAATCGCTTCTTAACATTTTCCTGAAGTTTATAAGTTGCATTGCTTTGAGGGACTATTTCAAGTTTTTTTTTTTTTACTTCTTATGAGATTCATAATGCATGAATTGTAGAAAATAATGTATTATCATTATAAGTCGCTCTTAAATCAAAGGAAGCCAATAATTGAGGAGCTCAACAAACTCCTCAAAAGTGCATAATGCAACTTTTAATTTTCAATAGAGCAAGTTTATTGGGTCATCATAGATCCCAAACTGTTAGGTTGATCAAATATGCTCCCTTCATGGCTTCCTTCATTGTCAAAGCTAAAATTTCTGTGGCTCATCATAAAAATATCATAATGGTATAGCAAAATCAAACCTATCAGGCTTTTAGGCTTCTTTCAAAGGCTAACAACCTTTCAGCAGAAAAAAAGTTTCTAACTATGTAGCACTGTGGTAGCAACTTGTTCTTGGATTAAGAACATAAATCATGGAGATTTATGAGCATAATACACTCTTCTTAGTTCACTTATCTTTTCCTAATGAATAACATCATTGAAATAAAACTGAGAAACTCAAAAACCTCTAATACACAAGCATATAAATACTGAAATTCATTATACTGTTGTGTAAGAATAATACAATTACCACTCATTAACTATGAGGCAAACACTTACAAACTATGCACACAGTGTCTCATACAATCTCATTATTTGGTAATTAACCAAACCAATAACAAATGCAAAAAAAGTAAAAAAAAAAATCCAACTCCATGTAAATATTTGCAAATCACCGAGCTTTCTTAATCATCTTTTCATAAATTTACATGATAAAAACATCACTGCAACACCATGAAACAACTCAAATCTGATAGCAACTCATCAATCAACTCTGCAATAATCAACCCCTCTACTTCCTTCTCCACATAGCCAATGTCCTCATAAGATGAAGTAAACCAAGGCCTCAACTTGACATCCCATGCCACCACCTTATCTATTGATTGGTGTTGAACGACCTTAGGATTTGCATAAATCTTAATCTGATTAAACAAGTCATCAAGCAGTTTTATTCCACAAGGCAATTGTGCTAAACTCTCTTTCCATCTTCTAGACATCAAAGGGGTCACAGGAGAAGCAATTACAGTTGGTAAAGCCTCGTTCACCAAGTCGAATAACAGCTTTCGATCCATGTCGATATCACCGAGTTTGCAGGAGTTGGCTTCTATCTTCTCAGGTTTACAGTTTTTTTCTTCTACTTGATCAAAAACAGAAGAAGAGATTGATTCTGTTTGGCCATCCAGCGTTGAAAGCGCTTGATCTAAAGGCCAAGCCTTGTAAAGCCCAGAAACAATAAGGATGTCTCTTACATAAGACTTTGCATGGCTTTCAATTTGCATTATTTCATTAGTGTCATTAAGCTGAGCTTCAGTTGCCACTTCTTCAGAGTCTTTGCTTTCAATTTGTTCTGGATGAATTCCAGAATCTGGAAGAAAATTAGAAAAGTGGTTTCAGGTTAGTGTCATATATGATGCAAATTTCAGTTCTAAATGAACAAAGCAATTGTTGATATGGAATAAGGAAGGGGATATAGGCCCAAAACCCAAAGAAAACACTGGAAAAAAGTAACATTTACAGAAAATGCAAAACAAGCACTTTATTCCAGAAGATGAAAAATATTTTGAAATTGTTAGGACCTATCACTCTTGTACACGTGTCCTAGCCGTTACCTTTCTTGTGTAACTCTCTATTTATACTAGCTATAACATAGTTTTACATAATAATATTGAATCTTCTTTCTTACACTTTCTTTCCCTCGTTCTCTCTTCCTCTCCGCCAGTTTGGGCCTTTCATGGTATTAGAGCGCGCAAGCCATGACAGATCAAGAAGAATCAACAACCTCTATCCCTCCCGTCTCCAACCTTTCCAAAATCACCACATATCTCACAATCCCCGCCAATCTCAAGTTTCTCATCTCAAACCTCAAAAATCTTGTCCCCATACAACTATCTTCCGACACTTACCCCATTTGGCGATTACAACTTCTTCAACACTTACTGCGAACGGTTTTTCCGGCCATCTAACCAGAGACACACCATGTCCTACAGATCAAAGCTGCTCCACCTATTGCCTTTGGATTCTTGCCGATAGAAACCTCATTTTCGCTCTCTTTTCTACAATCTCTCCATCTATCCTTCCCTATGTTCTTTCCTCCTCTACCGCTCAAGAAATCTGGACCATTCTCGAACGTCGACAATATTGTTGCATCCATCTCCAAGATCGATTCCGAAAACATCATCCTTTACTTCTTGAATGGTCTTCCCGCTTCTTACAATCCTTTCAAAGCTGCCATCCAGACGTCTCTTAGCCCCATCGATCTTGACACTCTTTACTATTCACTCTGTAGTGAGGAGATTAATCTCCAAAACAAATAGCAAAAATCATCTTCTTCCAATCCCGAAACAACTGTTCTTTACACAAATCGTACTTCGTCTAATCGTGGACGAAACCAAAATCATTCCATTCCAAATCGGAATAAGCAAACTCGAACGAACTCGAACTACAACTCACCCCGTCCACCTCCCGCTTCGGAGCGCCCCACGTGCCAAATATGTGGCAAAATCGGACATCTTGCCTTGAACTATTGGCACCGTTGTAACTTTAAGTATGCTCCCACCATTACATGGCCTCCCCGCGCCATGTTGTCTCACAACAATGACGTGAACACATCCAATTGGGTTCATGACTCAGGTGTCTCCTTGCATCTCACACCCGGCATTACCCATATACACCAACCGTCCTCCTATCAAGGTTCCAACATTGTCTCGATTGCCAACGGATCTAATCTTCCGATTCACAGTTCTGGCCAAGGTATCCTCCTCTTACTGGACCCAACCCGTAAGTTGTGCTTACGAAATCTTCTTCATGTTCCTCTTCTTTCTCACAATTTACTTTCAATTTCTTAACACACCGCTAACAACAACATCTCCATTTGTTTTGACGCTACTGGCTTTGTCATTAAGGATCGTCAGGACCACCAACCTCTTCTTCATGGTCGTCTCCATAACAGTCTGTACCAAATTCAAATTCAAAACAATCGGAGGCCCACTGTTCTTCAAGCCAACATCTCCTCCACTCAACTTTGGTACGCCCGTCTTGGACATCCTCATCACCAAACTCTGTCCAAATGAGTCAAGAATATTCCAGATTTATGTAATCTCAATTATGCTTATATTTGTAATTCTTGTAATGCGGCAAAGAGTTACAAACAACCTTTTAATAAAAATCTCTCTGTTTCAAATACCCCATTCGCTCTTCTACACTCTGATGTTTGGGGTCCCTTCCCGTCGTCTTCACTAAATAGATTTAAATACTACGTGATCTTTGTAGACGATCTTACCATATTTTCTTGGATATACTTGATACACTCCAAAGCTGAAACATTCAACAAATTCAAACATCTTCACTCTCTTTTTTAAACAAAATTCAACACTAAACTCCAAATCATTAGGTCAGATGGAGGTGGTGAATTTACGAGTCTCGCCTTCAAAACTTATCTCTTCGGTCACGGCATAGCTCACCAAGTTAGCTGCCCTCACACCCCCGAACAAAACAGTATGGCTGAACGAAAACATAGACACTTGCTCGACCTCACCAGGACCCTGTTACATGCTGCTCACCTACCTCAATCATTTTGGGCTGATGCTCTTGCAAAGACAAACTTTCTCATTAACAGATTGCCCTCCAAATCTATTCAACTCTCCAGCCCTTATCATAAACTTCATAACAAACATCCCAACTACAACTATCTTCGCACATTTGGATGCTTATGCTTTCCCTTATTAAGACCGTATGCTCCCAAGAAACTCACTCCTCGCTCACAGGAATGCATATTTCTAGGATACTCATATCTTCATAAGGGATATCGCTGCTTCAATCTTCATACTAATCAGCTTCATATATCTCGAAATGTGGTATTTGATGAACATATCTTTCCGTATAAGTCCCCTGCACCTTCGTCCGATAACACTGTCAACACTACCCAATACTCACCTCTCCTACTCACTCCTGTCTCCGTTTCTATTCCTCCTAGCCAACCAAAACAACTTCAATCTACTACATCTTACAAACCTCAATCCGATTTCTCTCAATCTGACACATCTCACAACTCTCCCATACAGCTACCCGATCAACTCATCTCCTGATCTCCACATACCACAATTCCACCCACGCATCCAATGCAAACCAGACTAAAATCTGGCATCACCAAACCAAAACCCATTTTCGACTTATCTACTATCACCACACCCGCAAATACACCACTCTCATACAACCAAGCCAAAATTCATCAACATTGGCAGACTGCAATGTCCGACGAATTCCTGGGACTTCAACGTCAAGGAATGTGGTCGCTCGTTCCATCCCCTCCAAACAAAAATGTAATGGGATGTAAATGGACATACAAAATCAAACAACTACAAAACAGATAGGTCGACCGCTACAAAGCCCGCCTAGTCGCATAAGGATTCAATCAACAATACGGCATCAACTACATCGAAACCTTCAGCCTAGTCGCCAAGATGCCTACTATACGTATACTACTCGTCATCGCTCTGACTCGCAAATGACAAATTTCTCAGTTCGACGCCTCCAACACCTTTCTTCACAGAGATCTTCCAGAAGATGTTTATATGAAACAACCCCTGGGCTTCTCCGACCAACAACATCCAGACTTCGTCTGCAAACTTCGCAAGTCCATTTACGGCCTCAAACAAGCTCCACGCTTATGGTTTCAGAAATTCACCTCCTTTCTTCAACACTTTGGCTTCGGTTTAGTCGTTCTGACCCTTGTCTTATGATTATCATCAACACAGCATACAACTATACATTTTAATTTACGTTGATGACATCTTACATATAAGCAATGATCAGAACACCATTCACACTCTTCTACATTAGCTACAATCTCACTTTCAGATCAAACAGCTTGGGGATATATCTCTGTTTCTCAACATCAAGGTTATCCACACCAAATCAAAATTATTTCTATCCCAAAAGCATTACGTATTCAATCTCCTACAGACGGCAGGCTTCACCGAATGCAAACCAGCTCCGACGCCGATCACACCGCCATCCGCCTCCAGACATACCTCCGATCAACCGTTCAATGACCCACAGCTTTACCGCAAACTTGTCGGCTCTCTACAATACCTTTCGATCACCCGTCCTGATATATTGTTCACCATGAACTCTGTTTCCCAACACATGCATTCTCCCATCGTCCGAAACTTTCAATCTCTCAAACGGCTCCTCAGATATATCAAAGGAACGTTGCACTACGGTCTCCCACTCCAACATAACAGTCTGCACCTCCAGTCAGATTCGAACGCTGACTGGGCTACAGATTAAACCGATCAGAAATCTGTCTCTGGGTTATGTACGTTTCTAGGCCAAAACCTTATATCCTGGTCCGTCAAGAAACAACCCACGATTGCAAAGTCCCCAACCGAAGCAAAGTACTGTTCCCTGGCCTCCGCTATATCCAACGTACTTTGGCTCCGTCGTCTACTCGAAGAGTTTCAAATTCAGCAAAGATCTCCCATCCACATTTACTGTGATAATACCTCTGCTATCGCTCTGGCAAATAACCCAGTTTTTTCATGCCAAAACGAAACACATCGAGATCGACTTCCACTTCATTCGGCACCACATCGACTCCGGAGCAATTACCATTTCTCACATCAGTTCAACAGATCAAATAGCAGATATTCTCACAAAGCCGTTCCCACCATCCAGATTCTCCGACCTCCGAAGCAAACTAACCATCCAATCTATGAATGATTAATTTGAAGGAGACTGTTATGATCTATCCTCTTGTACACGTGTCCTAGCCGTTACCTTTCTTGTGTAATTCTCTCTATTTATACTACCTGTAACATAGCTTTACATAATAATATTGAATCTTCTTTCTTCCTCTTTCTTTCCCTCGCTCTCTCTTCCTCTTTGCCGGCTTGGGTCTTTCAGAAATAGCATCTAAAAAAACAGCGAGTTGTTTCTTTAATGTTATAGTGGTTTAAAATTATTGCGTGTTGGAAGAATTTTACATTGTTAGTAAGTGTTATGTGGTCTCAACATAGAAACCTGTACATACACAGTCGGAGAAAGAAGGATTTTTATGTGAGGCCTTTCTCAATTGCAGAGTACACTATTTTTGAGAATTGGTACAGAAATGGTCCACCACCAATTAATAATGAGGCCTTGCTCAGTTTTACAAAATATACTATTTTCTAGAATTTCTACAGAAATGGTCCACCGCTGATCACTAAATGCAATGTACTTCATGGGCGACGGAGATGAAAAAAAGGTGATGTCAAAGACACTTAGGCCGATCTTGCTCACACTGGTAGGACGCTCAATATAATTACCTTAAGAAAAGATCAATAGCATCTTTGAGCAGCACTGGTGCAAATTGTTGTGCATTACTTGAAGTGATCTTGAACATCATCAAGCCTTCAAATGGCGTGGGTTGATTCTTCATTATCATTGTGTATGACACATCTAATGTAGTTATGGTGGCAATAGGATAGCTGTGGATGATAGCAAAACAAGGGTCATCCGGTCTTTAGATGGTGGAAGGTGAACTATCACAGTGTCATCTTTTATGGTGCATCTAGCACGACTACCACAACAATAGAATGGTCGCAAAGAAGAGCACGATGAGCATCATATGGCCTTCAAGTGAATATCGGATGTCGAGGCTATCATTGTCACCTAGGGGTGTAAGTGAGCCGAGCTGGCACGAGCTCGACTCTTAAAGAGCTCGTGAGTTGAGCTTATCGAGCTACAAGTTCGAGCTCAAGCTCAAGTCTGGCTCAGCTCGAAAGCTCGTTGAACCGCTTGATTAAATTAAAATGTATTTAATAATTAATTTAAATTAGCATTATATAATATATTTTAATAATTGTAAACTAATTATATATTAAAATATTAAATTTAGAAAAAAAAAGAAATTTTTTAATTTAAAACTAAGAAATTGAGTTCAATCAATGAGTCGAGCTTGAGCTTTCTAAACAAGCTCGATCCTATGAATTTTTTAACGAGTCGAGCTTGAGCTCAGTAACAACTAAATAAGCATAGCTCGATTAGACAGATACTTGACTCGTTTACGCCCCTATTGTCATCACATGCAACACGCACATGGCCTATTTCGAATTCACTCGGAGCTTTGGTACTAAAAATAGAGAATATTGATTCAAATCTCCTAAGATTAAGACCATAAAATAATAATATATTTTATCACAACCTCGTAGTCTTGCATTTGTATTTCCATTGTAGGTATCTTGCAATCCCTACGTATTTTGTATTGCATAATCCTTGTGATAGTTTGTGATAGCATTAGACAATCAAAAGCATGGTCTTCAATCACTTTGGAAAAAGGCATTTCCTATAAAATTGATAAGTATTGGCCTAAAAGAGTTTCCCTTACCCATAACAAAGGTGGGTGTTTGATCCCTCTTTTAAGTAAGAGAGTGTGAAGGCATGCTTCCCCTTGAAGGAAGTGTTGGGGATGGTTTTTTTTCGGATGTGCATTGTGCATGATAGATTTACAAATGTAGGGGAATTCTAAGTATAAAGGGTACTTAGGTGTGGACATAAGCCATTGGCTAGACTAAACCACATAAATATAGATTTTGTCCATTTTTGTTCAATATATTAGATTTACTATCATTACACATTCACTTCACTTATTATTTAAGCTTTAAAATTCATGTGATGATCTACTTGATTAAATTATTCAAATGTTAAACTAGTTAAGTAATATTAATCATTCCACTTAACAAATCAACTGCTCTCTCTTAAGCATAGATTTATTTATATAACCATCATACCATCATTGTGTGGACACTTTTGTTTTGGTATTTAAAAAGAGTAATCCAATAAGCTTGTGTAGTGTTATCATTCCTTAAGTTTGTGCTTAAAGTTAAGCACTCTCACTAGTTTAATGATTTATTAAACACCATTATTTTTTTGCATCATCATTTGTGTGAAATAGATTTAATTGATTGCAAGCTTGTTATGAAGTTGTGCAACACATCAATTACATTTTACATAATCTCTATAGCTTACACATCATATCATTGATTGCTTCTCTAGTATATTTTTTGCAAGCTTGTTATGAAGTTGTGCAACACATCAATTACATTTTACATAATCTCTATAGCTTACACATCATATCATTGATTGCTTCTCTAGTATATTTTATAGATTTCGCATTGCACTGTGTCGTATTCGAGTTGAGAAAAATTTCACAAAGAAATTCTGGAGCACTAAAAAGTTACACACTCAATTAAGTACCAATTGGTGTGCGTTAAACGTAGAAAAGTACATTTGGAGTGGTATAGAAGAATCATTGCCACACCAATATTCATTCATGTCACATAAGTTTTTCATCTCTTTGAGAAAGAAAGAAAGCTTCCTATAAAACCATCAAATGAAAATCAGGTGTAGTATCCTAGGGCTCACAAAAAAAGTTGAATTTTTGCTTCTAGCTTGAGAGTAGCATCTAAATTATTTAGTCATAGACTATGAAGCTCAAGCACTTTAAAATGACCTTCGTATTCATACAAGATGTACGTCCAACACGAAAACGCCTATGGCATGCCCCTACACATGTTTGACGATTTTAAAATCGTGTTTAAGGTATTTCTTGTCAAACTTAGAGTAAAAATGGGTAGAACACGGCCCAAAATAAAAGTGGCCCAAAATAAAAGCAACATGTGTAAGACACACAAGGAGAATGTTTTAAGATTTTTTTTTTCAAATATTTTTTGATCTGATTCAATAATATGATGGTTTGATTTAGTATTACTTCAAAACCCATTTTGACTTCCATTACTTTTTGTTGGGCTCAAGTTCCCTCCGCTCTCATTTATTCACAGAAGCCTTAATACTTCTGATGCCTCTTCTAGTTGCAATCTTCTTCCAACTCTTTGAGCCCTTACACACTTATCGTTCTCTATCGAGCTTGTTATAGTATCGCACCTCCATCTCTCATGCCTGAAACTCTCCATCTTAAGAGAAATTTTCTTTTTAGTCGACTCTTTCTCTCCCTTCTTTTATGCGTATGTGTCACTTTAACATTCCTCTACTGACCCTAATTTTATATCTATGTTTATTCATTGATTTTTTTGCTTCTTTTTTTCCCATAAAATAAAGATTATCTTGTCTTTAATTTGAAAAGCTTCATATTCTAAGATTTCAAGGAACATAATATTCATGGATTTTTTCAATAATAAGAATTTAGGGTTTCAATTTTGTTGATTGTTATGATATTACACTTCAACATGTGATATTTTTTAACAAAAATATTGACATTGTATTTTAATCATAGGGTTTAAATTAATAATGAATGTCTGGAATCATCTTGAAAGGTCCTTGCACAAATATTTGAAACTCTATTCCCTCCATGTACAAAGATTCGCATAGGAAAACTCATAAAACCCTAGTCCTCATCATCAAAAACCCTAATGCTAATTTTTTTCCTGGTTCTTCAAGGAAACTAGAATTTAAATCCTACCATTAATTCTAAGAGATTCCACATCACAATTCCAAATCAAGTTGGTATTATAGCAATTTGACTCCAAATCACCGCCCGATGGTCATGGGTGTATGGAAGAACTCCAAACAAACCAATGATTTATGCTCCTAGTTTACTAGTAAAAGTCAAACCATCTACAATAACATATGTGAAGGCGTCAAAGATCGAAGAAATAACAAATAAAAAGCAGTGGAGCTGATACAACACAAAAGCATTCAAAATAGTTCTCACCGAGAAGGGTGCCTAATTCGCCCGAGACTTGCGTTGAAGAATGATCTTCAACAAAAGGAACCTCTAATGGGGATACAGGACTATGGTGTTCAGTGGTTGGACTGCTGTAAAATGAGGCAGGACTTGGTGGAACCTCCGTAGAGTTGTCCTAAATTGAAGCAAATGAATATCAGAAATCATTGTGAACAAAAAAACAAGCTTTTTTAGCAGATTGATTTCATCAAGGAGTTTACCTCTACTATTCCATAATTTCTGATCACTGAAGGCAAGGTATCGATGGACTTCAAATAACTGAAAGTTTCTGAGGTTGATTCCCCTATTAAAGGCATCTTCTTACCAAAAATTTTTCCCTTAAAACTGAGATTTCGTCTCAAAATGGAAACTCTGCCTTTAAAGTTCAAGCCATCTTTTTTGTTTCTTCCTGAATCATTTTCCAATGTTTCATTCCTTCGACTTAATTGAGCTCCAGTTGCTACACGCTGATCTTCTAACAGAAGTTTACCAAAAGCAGTTCCTGAGACCGGGGCGGAAAATGATCTAATAAGGTTTGGAGGTGACATTGCATCATCATCAAATTCGGCCATTTTCATCTGTTCCCTCCTTAAGTACTTAGGAATTGACTCATTCACAGCTTTCTTATCCTCCCAAAAGCTAGCACCTTTTCCCTCCTTCAAGAAATCAGTCATAGATTTTGATCTTTCCTTTTCTTTTATCTTGAGAGAATTTTCATTAAACTTACTTTTCTCAATCTCACGATCATCCATCAACACATTTTTTAGTCTATCAGATATAATTTTTCTTGTATCTTTTTTAATGGACTCCTGGGATTCCTGTTCATTTACGTGAAAATCATTCTTGTATGATCTGGTGGATTCCGACCTTACTGATGTTGTCCCAAGGTCCCTGGTAACACTTTCTCTGATATGCTTTGCGATATCCCGGGCCAACTGTTTTGGGTCGGTTGACCTTTCATGTAGGGAAGTATGAGCTGAATTACCCCTCCTGACAGAATCATTTCTACCCTTTCCTTCCATTTCCAATCTGAGCCTTTCCTTTACCTCTTCAAGAAAATGTTCCATACTACTAGCTTTTTCAAGTGCATCAGATGAGCCACTCCATGGCTCTTCTATTTCATTAATATCAGAACTAGGTTTCAGAATCACTATCCTTGTAGGTGAACAAGATCTACTTCTTTTCTCCTGAAACATAGTTCTTGGTACTGGTTCAAAACTGTTAGCAGCTAGTTTCCTCCTTATAGCCTTGTCATCTTTCATTCTGGGGACACATTGCTTATCTAGATTGGCATCTTGATAGAGACCATCAGCCGGATTTGGAGCACATTTAACTTTATTCACCGAAGTGTATATATCTGTTTCTATAGGTTTCTTTCGCACTTGAGCTTTATTAGTATTTATACATCTCGACATTTTCTCCATGTTGAGGTTTTCAAATGCAAGATTTGGCTCATCTTTCAATCCTTGACTGCTATCATTTTGATCGAAATTGCTTGAACTCTCCCATAACTTGGATGCTTGCCATGACTCAAATTCTTTTTTAAATTTCTGCAGTAGCTCTTCTTGTGGATGCTCTCTTCGGTGCGGTTTAAATGAATTCAAGTTTTTGGACGACGAGCTAGGATATTGTTGTTTATTATAGATCCGAGGCAATTGTTCTTTCGATTGGGCGAAAGTAGTCAAAGAAAGTGAGTTCAACTCAGATTTAGCACTCACAAAACGGGGCACTCTTGATATGTGTTTCCTCGGGTTTTCGTTGAAGCATTCCTTTGCATGAATTGTATGACCTTTTTCATGTGGCAAAGTATCCATGCCCATTAAGCGAGCGACAACACTAGGTCCACTGCGCTTGGTATTTTCTCTATTACTAACCTCCTCATTGATCAGCAACTTGACTGGAGTATTTCCTTTGTGATGAAGGTTCATTTCGGAGGATGGTATCTTTACCTGACAACAATGATTATTGCATTGAATGAGCGCAAAATCGGTAGCTTTTCTAACTTCAACATAAGTGATAACCGAAATACTTAAATAGAAGAAAAAACCTAGACAATAACTGCAACAAATGATAGTAGAGTTAAGAAACTCACAGTTAGCAATATCAAGCTGTTAAAACTAAAACAATATGATTTAAACCCATTGAAATGATTCCCATAAGAGCACATTCGGGTACTTTTAAGTTTGAAAACATGTTCTCATAAATCATGAAATTTCATAGATTCATCATTTGGATGCATATAGTTAGAAATCAAAAAGTAATTTTAAGCTCAACAAGCTCTCTCAAAATCTCCTCGATAATGATTTCATTTTTAAATGTAGAATGAGTAGAAATAAAATCATAAATTTATAAAATATGTTTCCTATTTACAATGTAAGAATTTTCTCAATTTATTAGCATGCTTTAGCTATTAGAAAGCGTTGGGAATAAGAAAATCACATTCAAATATAGACAATGGAATGAATGTAAAACAAAAAAGAAAATCAACGCATCAAAACAAGGAATTTTACACATGCCTTATCATCGTCGTTCGTCGCTATATATTTCATTATGATTTGATTATGGAGAATTATAGTCCTAGTTCAGTTGATACAAATATACTAAAGAAAAATAGAGGGCACCCAAAAATATCCTAGAAGTCCTAATATATCTTTAGTAAAATAACCCCCAAAAATTGGATTCCTTTTGGAGCCTTGGCCCCCAAAGCCTTGGGAGGCGGACTCCCCGCCGCACTTCCAATCCCAATAGTGAAGTGTGTTTTCTTTAAAGCGAAGAAATTGGACTCTGCAACTCGACAAGAAGTTTGATTTGGAATAGGAAAGCATAACTAACCATTAAATTCTCATTAATGACATGATGCCTATTAGTTGTTTCCAGAGGTAAGTCCAAGCTATTTCGAGGCGCTTCGACACCTACACAAGTTGCAATACCTATATTAAAAATGAAAACCAATTGTGTAAAGCAAAAGCAATATTAAGCATGACCAAAAAGAGTTTTTTTGTTTTTTAAGTGTGCTCATCATAAGGTTTAGGTAGAACTCAAGCATATTAAAATATCATACGTTGTCTATTGAAGCTAATTTGGAATGACCAAAATGCTGTAAAATCTTACCATCATGGTGCTTGTTGTGTGTAATCAAGTGCCTAGCTGAATTAGACCCACCAAATGAAGAAACATTTGACCTCCCTCCCATGAATCTTAGATATCACGAAATTTCAGCTTTCAAAAAGTTGGAAAGCTTACTACTTAATATGCAACAAATGCTTATTCTCTCCACTATCAGATATCATCTCATAAAAACAAGCATTTTGATGCCTGCATAGTAAGCATTATATGATTCAGTCTTCAACAGAAAAAAAAAAAATCATATCAGGAAAACTGAGGAACTCTGTGCATTCCTATAAAAGATCAATTTTATCTGGAAAGAAAAAAAGCCTTTTTTTTCTTATTGAATCCTTAAACATTGCACTCTTCCTAAAGCAAATTGACGGTTTAGAGACCCATCACATGATCCTTTTTTTTCCATTTTATTTTTTCACCAAGAATTAAATTAAGGCAATCATGAGAAGAAAAGCAAGTCAGAAAAGAAGAAAAAGATTTCATTTCAAAGAATGCAATCAAAACAGATAAGAAAAGGATTCACCATTCATATTAAATACAGTACTAATTAGGTCTAGGTAAAACTTCCATTAATAGAGCATGCAGGCATTGATTAAGCAAGGAACACAACAGCCTGATCAAATCCTCACAAAAAACTGAAACTCAGATGAGGAATAAGAGATTTTCACAACACATGCAAGTTCTTTAAGCATCCAGAAAGCGAAAAATCCCAACTTTTTTCCATGATAAAAAAGAAAACTCCCAAATCAACAGAAATGTGTATATCATTTCTGACACAAATCACTTAATCCCAATTAAATCCTCATCCTTCTGCTTCCTTAATTTGTTTTCCTTACCATAAATTGACAGCACCTCGCAAAGAAGAAGGGTAAAGCCAACAGCCTGGTGCTCGGCACCCTGTTAATGGCTGTAATGTAAACCCTTTACAAGCTCTCATGAATGGAAATAGGGGAGAAAGAAATAAAAGAAGAATAAAGAAGTAAAGCAAAGACGGCTCCTGCTACCTCGTAATAATATTTCTTGTTTTCTTCTTCAAAGCCCAATTTTTACTCCATTTTTTTTACTCTTTTACAGAGCTGACGCCATGTGAGAAAGCTAGGTCACAATTTCCGTTTTATCACCATTTCCATTCTTTTTTTGCATTGACACCCTTGTAAACTTTGATATTGCATCTCAAATGAAAATCATCAGCGCCTAAACTGAACTTTGACTACATATTTAAAATAAAAAAAAAAAACGAATTTTGACTGCACCGCTTCATCAAAATCCATTCTTTTTTTATCCCCCAAAAAAACACTCAATCTCTAGATCATTTATAAGTCCTTTGACTTGATCTCGAAATTGCTGGCCAGCATCCACTGATATCACAGCTGAAGCATTATTCCTCCATATAAAACAGTTTTTTTTTTCTGACCAGAAGGCCCAATAATGTGAAATCAAAAGCAAATCGTATATAATTTTTTGTTTTTTTGAACTAACCATCATTCTCGATAGAATTATAAATACAAGTAGCAGTTGATGATTCAAAATAAAGCATTCTTTAATACTTTTCAGACAGAAATTAGAGCTTCGTTGGAAAGTCCGTTGGGTTAGTTGGGAGACGTTAATTCCATTTGGCGCCATTTTTTAAACTTTTTCCAGCTTGTTTTATTGTTGTATTGTTACCTGGTGTCCATCACTAACTTTGTCTTTCTTTTCCTAATAAAAATTAATTAATTATATATTTATTCTTAATTGAAAGGATAAGTTAACATATATGGAATGAACTGGTCTTGTGCAAATTGGGGCCTCCATTTGGCACCATTTTTATGTCCTTAGTGGTTTGTTTTGGTGGATTTATGGTGTATTATCACCTGTAGATTGGCTTGTAAAATTAAGCTAAATTATATGATGATCGGCTCAATAAATAACCAATAAGATGAAAATTAAGTTGGTATAAGATAATATTCATTAAATATATTGGGTGGCGAATTTGCTCATTTAAAAATTAATTGGGTGATGAGCTGAGTTTTTTTCATACATGCTAAAATAAAAAGTTCAGAGCTAAATTATTAAAGAACTTAAACTCTCATCTCTCTCTCTTATAACCTTTATTCTTTTCAAATCATTTGAATATTCCAATAATTTTTTTATTTTCAAAGGAGAGAGATGTAGTTGTTTTGTAGTAAAAATTCATAAGAAAAAGAATCAGAGGACCAGACCTTCAAGCAATCGAATGACATCATATTTTTAGTGTTGTGTGATGTCAAATAATTAGAATGTAGATGACATTATTAAGGGATGATAGTCTCATACATTAGCTATAAGTACTATAACAAAGGCAAGTAATATAATGGGTGATAATGTCTTTGGGCGATTTTAATATGAATAACAGTGTTGACAGCATCATCACCTCATTAGTGATAGTTATCAATAATCTCTTCTTGTTTGTTGAACGATATGAAGTGAAAGTTATAGTATGTCAATATCATCAATAAAGAGTGAAATCTCATTTTTACTAAAAAACACCCGACCATCATATTCACTTAATGGTATCGTGTATGAGATAGTAAAGGGAACATTTCATTATCAAAAAAGCAATTCCATATATATTATTAACTTGAGGAAATACATCATAATTAGTGATGATGTTACACATGCCATCGTCACGCTACGACACATCATGGGCATGTAACTATTGCCCATTCATTTGACCTGTCATTATGTTCTAGGTTATTTTCTTTACAACCCTTGACTAAGGCATGATCTCTTATGAAGTCTTAAATCTTAAATATGGCATCACTTTGTCATGTTTATCTTCAAGAGTATTATAAGTTGATCATTTCTTCTCGAGTGACTCGTTGCTTTACCGCAAGACTTAGCACACCTCATATAACCTTGAGTGACACCTTGCCATCATAAGCTTGGGACTCACTTAATCTAGCTCAGTGCTATAATGCTCATGCCTTGGACTATCTCTATTATGATTTGAATAAGTCTATAAATAACTATTATAGCTCCTCTTCAAGATAAAAAACTCTAATATCCTCTAATTTTTTATTTTATGCTCTCTAAACCTTAACAAAGCCCCCATATGAGCTCTCTTTCTCTCTACATACCATATGTAACCTAACCAACACTCAATAGACCCTACATTGTAGATGACCTAATTTATAAGGAAAGTGAAATTGATCATAAAATGTAATGCAATTCATGAAATGGAACTTAGAAATTTTGTCACTGAAGCAAGGTTGTCTGACTCCTTTGCATATGAATCAGACAAAATGTAATATTTTATGTTAGTTATATGATCTAAAATAATAAAACATTTTTCACATGAAACCAACATAGCATACATATGCTTTGCATTAACTAAAGGATGTTGTTGATATGAAGCCTAACTATCATGAATTACATTATTCACTCAAAATGTTAACTCATCAAACCATAAAATATGAAGTCCACATCAAAAAGAGAGGTAATAAAAGTTTAACCTTATATATTATATATATTGACTTGTTTTAATGGAATGATTTTAAAAATAGAAATATTAGTAATTGAAAGCCTATCAAAATAATCCTAGTCAATCACACTGAATTAATAATGGGAATCTATGTTATTTTGCATTCAAATAAACAATCAATCATAGTGAATAAAAATTAAAAAATAATTTACAATTCATATAAATACTCTTAAAAAAAAAAAAAAAATAGCATCCATTTGGAAACATAATAAGATGTCATGTTTATTCTTTAGTTTTTTGACTTGCATCATCATTTGGAATCTCATGCAAGACCTCTAATTATTGGTTCCTCACATATATTTTTGTGGACTTTCCTATATATATTAATTATATATTGAAAAAGAGAATTACAATTGCGCATCACAACCATATACACATATTACCTCAAATTTTATTTTACTTTGCACAACATTATATTAATCAAGCATTTTAGCTTTTAACATATTCAGCTCCTGTAAATGATAAATATATCTATCATAACACATAATTACAACCAGTTAAGATTGTATCGCATAGGGGTGTAAGTGAGCGAGCCAGCTCGCGGCCGGACGAAGCTTGACTTGTTATGTGAGCTCGTGGCCGAGCTTATCGAGCTCACGAGTTGAGCTCGAGCTCGAGTTCGACTCTTTTAGAACGAACTCGAGTTGAGCTGAGCTGGCCGGCTCGTGAGCTCGCGAGTAATAAATATTAATATTTTAAAATAATTTTATTTTATAAATTTAAAATATTAAAAAATTAATAAAAAAATAATCTAAATTTTATTTAAATGTTAAACATTTCATCTTTTTTCCTAAATTTTGACTAAGTTTTAAAAATCCCACCTATATTTTTTTAAAAATCCCTTCTAAATTTTAAAATTCCCTCCCATGGCTCGCGAGTTCAGGCTCGATCTCTCTTTCCAACTAACGAGCCGAGCTCGGAAAGGGTCAAAACTCTACTCGTTTACACTTTACACCCCTAGTATTACATATCCATGACCATTACATCACAAGCATGAAATATAAATATAAACATTGTATTACATCACCTATTGTATTATGAATATGCAATCTAATTTAGTGTTTTGTGCTTCAGTTTTAATGTTTTGGACTAAGATGCTAGCTTAAGTTTAATAAATTAGGGGATGCTTGAGTTTAATTCTTAATGATTTACTAATCTTATGAGTTTAATGATTTTTTTTTTTTCACATATTTTGTTAAATGTTTTATTACTTGGGGATATTTGATTGTTATATGTCCTTATAGACTAAAATGGCAGACATGAACCATCCAGAGGTAAATCATGCCACCATAATGTCTTAAGTTTCATTTAAGCAATTTTAGTAAGTTTTAGAATTATTTACATTTTAGGATATCATGGATTTTTTTTATGATGGTTAAACACATTTATGGATTTATAATTAATAAGTTTGATGGTTCGAATGCATTATGTCACTACAGGAAAATCACGTATTACTGGCGGTAAATTTTCCACAGGAAAAACGAGCGTCGAAAAAATTTTCCGTCAAAAATAAAAATAAAAAACATCGGAAAAAGCCATTGGAATAATTAAAAATAATAAAAAAATAATAAGCCTGCAGTAGACCTGGAATCAACCATTTTGCTGTAGAGGAAAATGTGTTCCAAAACGTATACTTATATATTTAAATAAAATAATACAAAAATTAAATTTTAAAAGAAATTAAAATAAAATATTATGTCCACGAGTTCATCTCATCGAGACATTATTTATTAAGTAAAATTTCAAATAATACATTTTATCATCATCATCAGCATCATCATATATCTTGATATATATGAAGAAAATCCATCAAAAGATCCCTTTTGAGCTTACTACCCTAATCTCATGCATGCACTATAACAAAGATGCCATAATCATGATTCACCCCTTAATTAATTTATTTAGGCCCCCATACCACCCTAAACCTACATATAGACCTAATCATTTAAACCTCCAAAACCAATTGGCATAAACACCAAAAAATACCCACCGATGCTTAGCTTGGTTGGGAACCCCCCATCCCGAGTTCGATTCCCTCGAGCGGCAGTCGCCCTTAATTGGATGCACCAAAGCGCCGGTTATGATTTTGTGGCCTGGGTGGTCCATTAGGTCTGCCGGGGTTTACGGACCGCCAAGCGCGCTCGACGAAGTCGGGTGTGGCAGCGGACGGTTCCTAGTCATTAAAAAAAAAAACACAAAAAATAATTAAAAAGAAAGGCCCAATAAAGAAACAACCAAGAAAAGTAGGCAACATGGCCTTATTATAGCCAAAGGAATGTGTTGTAATATATTTTTTTAAGAAAGTGACCACCTCAATTTTTATTTGATAAATGTTGTCACATGGCATGGCCAGCTATTTTGATTATATTTTATCCAAAAGTCCTGAACTAAAATAAGGGTCCCCATTTTTTTTATTTATCTTGTGGTCATTCTAATATGATTACTTTCTTACCTAACTTCTTCCAATCATTATCTTTGTTGAAAAAGAATTGGGTAATTATCTTTTAAATATAATATATTTGTATGCTATTCTTATAATATTAGAAACAATCATCATTCAACATTTAGAATATAATTATTTTAGAAATTATAAAAATAACATTAATTTTATTTTTTTAATCTAAAAAAAAGTTAATGAAATTTTAAAGTGGTAGTGATTAGTACAAATAATTGTTTTTAAATAATTTATTGTTAATTTACTTAAAAATTATATTTGAAGTGTTTCTATTTACCAAAATCCCAAGTAAACGAGTTGAGTGAGCTCGAGTCACCCCTAGCTTGGCTACGAGTTTGATTAATTAATCGAATTTGAGCTGACTCACAAATGGGCTCGTTGATAACGAAAAAGAGAAATTGATTATGATTCAAGTAATTATTATAATAAAATTAAAAAAGAATTAGCAATTATAAGATAAATAAATAAAATCATGTCATATAGAAAAATGAGATATAATTTTAAAATATTTTTATTTGCTTTATACTTGAACTCCTGAATTCTGATATATTTTAAGTGTATGTTATATTGTAAATTTTTAAACGATCTAACTTGCAAGCTAACGAGTCGAGTCGAAACTAGCTCAAACTTGATTCGGCTTGACTCACTTATAACCCTAATCTCGATGAATATATTCTTCCTTGTTTTCTAATTAAAATTCTGAAAGTGCACTCTCTCTTTAGAATATAAATAATGCAATTACCACAAATTTCAAGCACAATTAAAAAATTAATACAAGTGCAATAAAATTATTTTTTATGATCTAATAAATATTTATTCAAAAGTTTTTCTCATGGAAATGATGATAATAGTGGATGGAATATGCTGGCCATAATGAAAACTGTAGCTGATCTCTATATTTTTCATGAAAGAAGATCTTAGCAGTACTGATTATTATAGAACTTTATCAATATAATATTATAAAGTTTGTCACCTTAATTAATGACATTGAACTAATAAGTTAAATAAAATATAATTCATATTTTACAATTCCAAACATTTTTCTTTTCAAATTGCAATAATTTTCATTTGTTATAGCAATGAATTGGTCAGACAAATTAAAATCAGAAGAAAATGAGGCATTTTTTTAAAAAATTGCAACATTAGAGATTTATTTGTTCATTTGCAATAATACAATAGCTATTAAATAATATAGTAGCATACATGATTGACATTTTATTTTGTTATGCAGTTAGGGGTATCAATATTTGACACGATACGAAAATATGACACGGACCCGACCCGATTTCAAAACGGGTTGGGTTCGGGTTCACGGATTGGACCCGTTTGAAAAACGGGTCGGGTTCAGGTTGACCCCGCGAACCCGTTTAACTTAAACTGCCCGCGCTGCCCCGCCTGCCCGCTAAGTTGCCCCGCCTACCCATGAACCGCCCGCGGCTGCTCGGACCCTGCCCGCGCGACAAAGCCTGCCAGCGCCTACTCCCCGCACCCGAGGCTGCCCGTGAGCACTCGCACTCGCTCGCACGCACCCACCTGCGCACTCTCGCACACGCCCGTTTTAGCCCGACCGCGTCCGCTCATTTTGAGTCCCGTGTCGGGTTGGGTCAACCCGACAACCCGTCGGGTTGAGTCCAGGTTCGGATATACGACCTGTTTATCTACCTAGGTCAGGTTAGGGTCAACACGTTTGAACCCGAGTCAGTTTCGGGTTCGACCCGAACCCAACCCATGACCCGAAATTGACACCCCTACATGCAGTGGTAGGAACCAAATGAACATAGAAACAGATGGTACAACAAGTCATTTGTATAATGTAGGTAGAATAAATGCTAATGATATATGTTTATGCAACATATATTGATACATGGAAAACTAAGATGATGTTGATGTAGGACAAGTGCGAATGATAATAACGAGGTGTATTCTACGATTATTTTTTATAAGAAGGTGATTGACATTATTAAAATATATCGACATGTTATTGTGCTTTTTTTTTCCCTCATTTTGAACTTTGGGATATTTAAAGTTACGGAAGATTTTGAACTTTTGACTATTTCTGGAGCCACCTTATAACCTCCCAAATTTTCAAATTTTTATCTAATACACACCTTGCAGTCAAGCAATATTTGTAGATGTTCTACTCATAATGTATTTCAATGCACTTCAACACAAAAATTAGCCAACAAATATCACCTGACTTCGAAGTTGATTGACATTCATTGATGCCCTAGTCTTGATGACCGTTATCACCCTTTGTCGGTGTAAAATATTTGGCGACTCCCATAATATGACTTTGTAGTTCATTAATGTCCATCAACGTCTATTCCAAACTCTTAACTTCATCAATACTAGATGTTAGCGAATCAATGAGTGCCGACTACGCAGTTGATTAATAACTACCAGTGTCTTACTTTTGATGTCATTCATTGTAATTCACAAGAATTTATCGATACTCAATTCTCTTATTGATGTCTTAGACCATCAACACCCTTTAATATCACCTTAAAAGACAATATCAAATATTTTGTGTCCTTACACTATACTCTCATCTTCTCTAGTTGTAGGGAATGGTGAATCTTTACAATTTTAAACACAAGCTAGTAGATCTACTTGAGGCATATCCCCATGCTTTTTCACTCTTTAGGATTTCCATGTTAAAAATATTTGTGCCTTCCAAAATTGCACAACCTTATATCTCTTTATAATCAAAGGCATGACCTTATTCATAATCTACTTATCTAATTCTTGAAGTTTATTAAAAAGATTTGGTAGATGGTGATAGTGGTGGATATGAGATGCATGGCTTTGTTGAATCCCACCATATGCTCAAAGGGAAAGCAAATTTAAGTAAGAAATAATTCAATCTAAAATTGGATATGATGTAACACTTTGGTGAAGCATTGTTAATTCCTCTGATTGAGCTACTTATAGATGATTATCCTAGTTTTTTCTTAGATGGGATTTCCTAATCAATTAAAATCGATCATTACTCCTATACAGATTTCAAGTATAGTTCTTTGTGCAAATGAAGTTGATTCAAGATCGATAAGTTCACCATATTTTGCCGACGAAGGTGATGTTATTGAAATTCAACGTGTAGAAATAAGTGATATTGTGGATATATATGATGCATGTGATAGTGATTCACTGAATGCTTCAAAACTTAAACCTTTAATGAAGAAATCAACCATAGTTTGTGGTCAACCCAAAAAAACTAGCAAACAACTACGATTTTATAACTATTAATGCAACTTAGGTTAAGTTATCATCTATGTTAGAGGGTCCCCGAAAGTATCCTTTTAGAAACTACCATCTTATCATGTTATACAACACAAAAAAAATCACAAATAATTATTGATCTCCACCGAGATACTGATGGCGGTTTAAAGTATGTATGTTTTTTGGTGATTTGTATACAATGATTCAAAACTGCAAGCCATTCAATGTTAATTATGGATGGTACCCGTTGAGCTTGCACTCATTATATGGCAATGAATATCAAGTCAAATTTCAAAAATGATAGCTATTATGAGGAGTGTCACTTGACTTCCAAGGCTCATAGAAGAGTCGAGTTTTTAGGTATTTTGATTAAAAAAGTGTTTAAAAATCCATACATAACATCTTATATTGTGAATACAATTAGCCATAAGAGACGGGCTTGTGCTTTCTTCTATGAAATTGATATAGCTTAATGATAATTGATATTTTTGAGGGCTTCAACAATGCCACAAAGAGCGCGTGCTCCTATTCAGTAACTATTGTTAGAACTTTTAATGCACATAATGCAATAACGGTTCTTTGATAAATGTAACATTACATTGAATTAAAAAATTATTTTAGCGGTTGAAGTAAAAGAAGCATTTTTTAAACTCTTGAACTAGATTCAAAATATGATCACTCACCGTCTCGCCTTAGTAGTCAATCTAAATTATTTGTAATTGATGACTGAGATGGTCATGTTAATTTATAATAGATGACATACAAATATAGAATGTTTAATACAAATATTATAACTTCCAACTTTCAAATATATTTTTCCAAAAAAAAAATATCGAGCATAATTTTAAATTTTATACAAATATAATTTTTTTTTGAAAAATATTAAATTTGATGAAATAATTAAAATAATAAGGTTTATAAAGATGAATGAGTCATTAAATATAATATAAATTTTCTTATCCAAAATGATATTATTTTTTGGAGCTTATTTTACTATCATAAATATAGTAAACAAATAAATCCCAAAGCCATAAGCCCAAAACCACGTAAGGAGTTTGCAAAATGGAGGGGCGAAAATGTAATTTTCAAAATGAAATTTAACAGACGCTATCAACGAAGGCCGGCCAGCGTTAGGGTTTCCCTCTTTAGATGATTAGATCGACGCCTCGACACGTTCTATCCTTCTCTATCGTCCGGAAATGATCTCTTGAAGGCGCAGCTTGGAGTCGGGGATTTACTCCAAGGGGGTATGTAAAAGGAATTTGAAACCCTAACCCTAGATCCGTATTCACCTGGAAGAAATGTTTGTAATTTGCAGAGCTATTTGTTTTCTTGTTAAATTTAGTTTCGTGGTTATTTTTCTGGTATTTTTCAGCTCATTGCTTTCTATGCGTGTTTAACTGGAAGTAAATGGTATTGTTTTCTGCTCTTTAGATTTGTTGATATGGGTTCTGAGCGGGGAGTTCGTAGATGATGTTTTTTTTTTGTTGGGCTTGCTGTGTGAGGCCGTTAATTTCTACTCTGGTTAGATTAGGGCTTTGCGAACATTTTGAGTATATATCAGTTGGTGGTGGGGATTGAAATCAGTAGTTCTTAAGTTCTTAGTGGCGCACAGTATCATAAAACAAAAACCCAATATGTTATGACATTAATAAGGCACGCAAGATACCACTTGTGTCACACTTCTTGATTATCATATTGTGTTGTTGATAGTCATGTTACCTGTAATTGGCCTTCGTATTCTATTTGGTATTTGTCATGATACTCTTTGCTGCATGAGATGACTTGATATTCTTATTAGTGATTGATAAGGCACATAAGAGTATTGTGTTTAGTTATACATATTATAGTTAAAAACATTTTATTGTAAAAAATTTTAAAATTTGTTTCTTTATCGTGGTTGAAGATTTTGAGTTGAAAATGAGTTCGAGCACTTGGATCCCTTTGAATTACTCTTTAAGAAGTGTTATCTGAGCCAATGATTAATACTTGATGGTGTTGAAAAGCATTCATTTATTGTTGTGATGTTTAAAGAGGTCTTGCATGGGGGAGATTTTGTTAGTGTATATGAGAATATTAGGTTTAATCCTATGTCCAATTGTTACAAAAAATGTTGTGTAGAAATACCATCTAATTGGCCCTCTATCATAGGTGTACCGTGTACGGTTTTGGGTTGACAATCTGGTTTGACAACTTGTATATGTTGCAAATTTGATCCCATTTGATATTCTCCCTAATTGAAATTATGTTTCTTCAAACATGTAAGTCATTTAAAAAGGTTAAAGCATTTATAAATATAGTAGGTAATTAGATATCTTATTGCCTATGGTTCTATAATTGATTCAAGGTGGAACTCTTCATATTTTTGTATGTGGAAGCTAATCGGATGTTAATAAAAAAAATTAAATAGTTAGAATTTAATCATTCAAATTTGCGTTCATTTGTTGTCCATTTACTATATGGTATTTATACAATACAATCATCTATACTTTTTGTAGGATGAGAATAACTTGTTTCAACAATATGACATATTGAAATTAATAGATTGAATACAAGTTGACATACAAATATATCAAAAGTCAAAGGGAATACTGTTAGACAAGGAGGATGTGAAATAGAATAAACCTTCGACATAGAATTATTTTCAAAGTGTGACATTATGATCTACCTTTAGGTAGGTATGCTTTAAAATAAAGAACATCTCTTTGATAGAACTTGAAAACAATGATATTTCTTCGAAGAGAGGGTGAATTTGATTATTTAAAAATATTTATAGAACTTGCTCTTTGATTAATTTAAAAGCAATCAAAATAAAGAAAAGAAATGTAATTAAAGTTATAGAACTTGCTCTTTGATTGCTTTGATTAATTTAAAAGCAATCAAAATAAAACTTGAGAAATGAGAAAATGATTGGGTGGAATTCGCTCATTCTTGGATTTTCTTTTTCATTTTTTTCTCTAGAGTTTCCCATAGCATTTTTTTTTCAAATTCATTGTTAACAAACTCATAAATAGCCCATAGCAAGTAGAAATCTTCAAAAGTTAGAATCTATTATATATCAATGCAAATAATAATGTAACGAGTTTGATTACATGCTGCTCTGAATGCATTTATGCCTGTTAGACTTGAAGATTTGATTGCTCTTCTTGCTGAGATAAAGTAAAAAATGGTTGAAGACCAAAAGTATGTGGTAATTTATGACATTTTGAAATGTGCTCTTTTTAATTTATCAAAGTGGAATATACTACGGAGTGAATAATATAATTATATGTCCTTATGAAACTACTAGTTGATAACCAGTGTTTTTTTCTCTCATTTAGGCTTCGTTTGGGACGGCTTTCTTACTGATTCATAAAGCAATTTTCTAATATAAAAAATTAGAATTTTAAACTAAAAAGCTGTTTTAAAAAGAAAAAAAAAATCGTCCCAAACGAAGCCTTAGTTGTTGGCTTTGTTTGGCTATATATAAAGCTGCTTTAACATTTATTTTTTTATTACAAGATCATCCTGAAAATTTCTTATTAGCCGTAAATGTTTAAATGTTTGTATTTAAGTTTAAGTTTGAATAGAAAGTATTGAATTTCTGGTTGTATATTTGTTGATTTTGCAACCTTTTAGATAAATGAGCCCCCTTATTTCATCGAAAATATGTTGTTTAGCATTTAGGTGTAGCTCAAAAACAAAAAGTAGAATATCTAAAGATTGGAATTTTAACAGAATGACCAAGGCCCCTCTATTTCCAAGTTGTATGCTTCTAGGCAAACTTGGGCTTAAACTAATAAATTGCAAATCTAAAATAAGGGGTTGTTTTGATACAGGATTTGAGGTAAATTTTGCCAATTGTAAAAATCGAGCCCTCCAAATACTACAGAAAAATAAATTTCCATTTCATCCGTTTTTGTCTTTGGCTTTATTTGGGAAAGCTTTCTTACTGCTTCTTAAAACAATTTTTTTTTACAAAATTTTAATTTTTATATTAAAAAGTTGCTTTAATAAACAGTAAGAAAATAATCCCAAACAAAATCTTAAATCCTGGCTGTGCCAAATCTGAAAGTTCAGTGGATTCGAAGCTTTTGTTATTGATCTGATATTTTCTGAACTACTACAAAGATCAAGTTCTGATGTAATACTTAGCATGCAAAAATTGACAACATTTTTTATTTTTATAGCTTCCCTCTGTGTAGAATTGAGGATTAATAATGTTCTGGCTTTTCATAAATTTTGAATCTATAATTTTGATTATAAACGTGTTCATGTCTGTTATATAAAAAAAAATGATTTTTTGTAGCTTTTTCTTTCTTGTGAAATTGCCTTAGATGGTTTGGTCACATAAAATGATGGTTTTCAGATGAACCGGTTAGGAAAGTAAATGTATTAGATTTGATTTATATTAAGAAATGTAGAGGTAGGCTTACAAGAACTTGGTTAGAACATATTAGAAATGATTTTTCTTTATTAGATTTAAACGAGAATTTGACTTTTAGCAGGACACAATGGAGAAAAGAGATTCATGTAGTCGACCCCACGTAGTGGGACAAAAGCTTGATGTTGTTGTTGTTGTTGCTGTTGCTGCCACCTTTATGCAGAATTGAGAATATTTCATTTTCTAGCTTTTATAGGAAAAAAAATTCACTAGGATTTGTGGTGGACGGGTAGTAAAAATGCATGAGAACATTACCTGCAGAAATGGTAAATTCAATAGGAATAATAAAGTTTTGATTGATTCACATCAATCAAAATATTCCAACAGAAATTTGTAAAAAAATTCTTCTCTATTTGCATCAAATCTTTTCTTATTTAGGAATGTATAAATATGGAATTTTCAGGTTAATAGGAGTGATTGAAGTATCAAATCTTTGTTAGTAAAGTTCATCTCCAATTATAAATATGTAATGTTACGGTTAGTCTTAATAAAGAAAACATGAGTCACCTTTTCCACATGATAACAAAAGCTGGTTTGCATCTTCTTATTCAGAAACCTCGAAGGATATGTGCATTATTTGTAATTTTGCATTCTATGTTTTTTTTGGGGGGGGAAGTAAAATTAATATTAACGAATTTTTAAAGTCAGGGCAACTTTAGATGAGTCACTCATAGGATGTCACAAGTTACTAACAATTTTCCAACACGGAGGTCTAAAAGTCGGCCATAGTCACGAGAAATTATTCTGTGCTCGGACGCTGTTCGGAGGCCAACCAGAACGTGCCACATCATTTTTTTGCTCGGTACTGGTGCTAGGTACTACTGTGTACCAGGTGACGTGTGGCGCGTTCTGGTTGGCCTCCGGACCGTCCGATGTCCGCACAGAATAATTTCTCCATAGTCATACAAGTAAAATCTGGACGAACTCGCACAACAACATTCATTCATTGGCACGCCCTTTGGGCAATCTAAGACAAAAAATTGTGATCCAAATTCATTTGACAATTTTGATTTCAGCTACGTACATTGTAGTCCAATTGAACATCTTTGTGGAAAACCTGAATATAGCAATGGTACCCTTCCAACGCCATTATTATTTGCTTTAATAAAAGATAGCATACATACAATTCTTTTATATAAAACACTAGTTTTACATGTTGTGCAGCAAGAATGAAAAAAAGTTTTGAAAGGGAAGGTTCTACAATGCTGCAATTCAAGTTCTTACCCACATGCTAACGAAGAGGTCTCTATCCAGATTGGTCCACAGAATAACCGAGGAGTAGGACGCCGGCTGCTATGGAGAAAATTCCGATAACGACACTTCCTCTAAGAATTTTTTTTCCTAAATGTGTAAACTTGATGACTATACGAAGAGTGGCCCAAACTAATAAGCTCACCAGAGCAAAGGCTACGCTGGTTCTAAGGAGCATGAGCTCCACCAATTTGGCGACGGAGGTGAGCTTAGAACCAGACACCGTGGTGGAGCTCATGCTCCTTAGAACCAGCGTAGCCTTTGCTCTAGTGAGCTTCTTCGCTTGGGCCACTCTTCTTATAGTCATCCAGTTTAAACATTTAGGAAAAAAAATTCTTAGACGAAGTGTCGTTATTGGAATTTTCTCCATAGCAGCCGGCGTCCTGCTTCTCGGCCTGAACGTTGTGAAGTAGTCATCGTTCTCGTAGAAGCTCTGCTAAGCTAATGCAGTGTTTGTTTTTCTCCTAATTGATGATGAACTTAATTGTATGTATATGCAATGCTTTTCTTGTGGAATTGAAGTTATGGATGACATTATTCATGATTTGAAGCTCAATATTTATGAATTTGAATGGATTTTATGAATAATAATAATAATGATCATAAAATTATACTATAAATATTTGACTCATATTCTGATATTCATATGGTAGTAAATAACCCTAATAAAAAAGAGATTTATGTTCTCAAATTTCTTACTTTGCGAGGTGGTCTCATGGTTTTCTACAAGAAGGTGAGAGAGTTTGAGTGCTCAGCACTTCCTTCTATTTTGGGTATCTTTGACCTAACGGCTAATGATATGATTTGAGTCCAAATGAATCCAAATGAAGCAATTAAAGCATACTTAAAACTTCACGACATCAATTGTGGGATCAATGTTCTCCAATTCAGATGTTCTTATAGTCAAATAGAACAGCTCTATGAGACGAATCCAATGAGCTCAAGATCATTTGATTCTGACATCATTAAGACATTCAAATACTTGATAAATAATTTAATATTACTTGAATCAATATGGACCGTATGATAGAGAGTTTGTATAATGCTTACATTTATTAAAATAATCGTCTCAAAAAGACTATAAATAGAGCATCATTGTCTACATAAAGAAAAGTTCAAGACTAGGTAGAGCTAAAAGACTATGGCAATTTCCTGCAATCATCATCGACGACTAGCATCCGCAATTGTTGCCACCAACGCTAGACTTCCGTCATCCTATCATTGTCATTTAGTATATTATCTCTCCCAAAGAGTGGCCCAAGCTAGAAAGTTGAAGAGAGATAAGGGTGTCAATATTTAACACTAAGAGGTCATTTCGGATTGATCCGGATCCATAGCGGGTTGGTTCAGGTCTGAGAAAATGACCCGTTTTTTAAAAAACCGGTAGAGTAGGGCCAAATAGTGCCGGATTAGTTCCGGATTCGACCCAAACGCGAGGGAGCTCATCGTCCCAAAATCAAGCTCAATTGTCCCCATAATCAAATAGAAACGGTCAGCATGTGGCAAGCAGTGGTCATAAAATCCATTCAAATTCATAAATACTGAGCTTCGGAGTTCAGATCATGAATACTATCATCCATAACTTAAATATATTTTACAAGAAAAGCCGTCTTCTCCAATCTTTTTTTTTTTCTGCTTCCGCTTTCTCAAACTCCGTCGCATATTGTGCATGGTCACGGTGGCCGCCTGCTCCACCACCGTATCCGACTGCTCCACCACCGTGACCATGCCAATCTGGCGATGGGGGTTGAGCAGGCGGAAGCAGAACAAAAAGGCTTGGAAAAAAAGGGGAGTCTTTGCTCCGGTGAGCTTCTTGGCTTGGGCCACTCTTCTTATATTCATCCAGCTCACTCATTTAGAAAAAAAAAAATTCTAAGAGGAAGTGTCGTTAACAACATTTTCGCCATAGCATTTCTAAGAGATTGAAAGAGGGATGGTTTAGAAAAAAAAATTCTAAGAGGCTTATTTTGTTATAGCCATCAAACTATACCGTCAACAAAAAAATATAAGATAATTTTCTTCCATAAAATTATATCATAAATTACATTTATTTTTTAAAAAAGGGTCATAATAATTAAAAATAAATAAATTCTTAGTGAAAATTATATCGTGATAGGCAAAATTGTTAAATATTACATTGATGTCACCGCTAATGATTTGATTTGAGTCCAAATGAACCCTAATCATTCAATTAAAGCGTACTTAAAAGACATCAATGGAGGGATCTAATGTTCTCCAATTCAAGCACGACATATTTGGAAACTGTTTTGTGATCCAAATTATGGATTGAACCTTCCAAATCTGCTTCGGTTCTTTTATTTGGACTCATTTGGGCTCGGATTGAGTTAAGTTTGGTGTTGTTGGGTTCATATTTTTGACGTTCAGTTCGACTATAAGTTTGCTGAAATTAGAGTTTAGATGGTCTCCAATATAATTTTTTAAGTTTCCAAATTGATTTTTGCCTCGAGATTCATGTCCGATCAATATAATTTTTTGATGATATATCATGATGAATTATATCAACTTAAATTAAAATCCATAGAATCATCTTTCTCCTTTTCGCGCGTTTCTTATGCAAATCCAATAGAGACATAAAAATAACGCAGATGAACAGTGTCACGTCAATATTGGCGTCGCACTGTTCACCCGCAACGAAATACCGAAAGTTTTGCCGTTCGGATGGAGCTGCCGAGCGACATCATTCATGCATTTGAAATTCGGTTGGAGAAGGCCTAAGGAGTACCAGACATAGCAAAAAGAGGGTAGAGGCATTGAAAAACCTGTTAGCTTGTCAAAACCAGACAACGAAGAAATTCATTGAAAAAATTGATAGACTATACCCATTCACTGACACCGTCTCCGACTCCTCGAAGGGCGACTGCCGGCAATGCAGAACCTGTTGCCCACGGGACCCTGTTGCTTCCTTCGCCGGACCACCTGATGTGAATCAGGAAACCTGCAACTGGGAAGGGAAAACAGAGGCAAGGGAAACAGAACAATCTGTATTCATGAAGAAAATGACTATCTGCCTTTATTTCCAAGAATAGCAAGCAATTTATACACAGTTGAAGCAAATGGCAGGCTACACACTACCGCCTAAGTAGAAATACAAGAAAATAGAAAAATTAGCCGTTAGCTCCTGCGTCATTCACAATGTTAGAATGCCTGGTTAAACTGAGCATCATAGAGAACATTTTGTCAGATGCCATTGTTGCTGTTCAGGATACCTTATTTTGTGCTTCTCCAGCTTGGTTGTCATGATTCTTATAAAAACAGAATTCTGTTCAATGCTTCTTTTGTAAATCTTGCTTTGATATGTTACATTTCATGTGCGTATGTCCATTAATAGCAATCTGAACATGCAACTTGATGGTGTTGCTATCAGAGCTAATGATTGATATTTGATGGTGTTGAAGAGCATTCATTTATGGGTGCAATGTCCGAGAAATTATTCTGTGCAAAATCCGGACGGAAAGAATCGTTCGGATTGTTATATATTTAATGAATATCTGCTAAGTATTTCGAAATACTCAGCAAATACTCAGTAAATACACAGTAAATTTGCAAACACTTATAAAATACTCACTAAATATTTGGTCATACTCACAACTGAATATTTGCTACGTGCAAATATTCAGTAAATACATAATAAATTTGGACGGCTCTCTCCGTTTGGACTTCGCACATATTAAGCGATCGAAGAGCTTCATTTGCTTTGGTTGGAATTGAACAGTCAATCAAAATTCATGATTAAGATGAGGCAAGTAGTGTTCATAAAATCTATTCAAATTCATAAATACTGAGCTTCAGATCATGAATACATCACCATGTTTTATTCCCTAAAAAAACCATATATTCAGTCCATGCAATCCATAAACCTCATGTAAGCGTATATTTGAAGAAAAACACACTGAGTAGTGCAAACAGAATGTCTTCTAGTACTAGAACCGACTTCAGCCATTGCCTAGCGCTACACCACGATGTTCAGGCCGAGGAGCAGGGCGCTGGCTGCTATGGAAAAAATGCCGATAATGACACTTCCTCTAAGAATTTTTTTTTTTCTAAATGTGTAAGCTGGATGACTATAAGAAGCATAGTCCAAGTTAAGAAGCTCACCAGAGCAAGCGCTGCTCTGGTTCTAAGGAGCATGAGCTCCCTGCGGCTTCTGGAGTTCTTGTTGGCAATGTAGGCTACTATCATTGCCACGGCAATGCCTAGGGAGAAGCCGCCCAACTGCTTTGCCGTCTTTTCCAATTTTTTTATTTCGGCTTCCGCTAGCTCACTCTCCGTCGCGGCGTGCTCAACCTCCGTCACCACATTGTGAAAAAATACAGTAAGAAATTGAAATGGAAAAAAGGGGGAAAACAGGACTATGGACTCAGAATGTCCATGTTCGCTCCAGAAAAATTATCTTTTTAAATAAAGATATGCGAACCTGCTCTTATGAACTTAGGGATTCTCTTTAATTTTCCCGGAGGTAGATTGAGTTTAATATTTAACCAGATTTTTCCTGAGAACAGTCTCAGGGTTTATGTTAGATCTGAGTTCTACTTCTTATGAGCGCAAGCCCTCATAGTTAATTACCCCTCCTAACACATTAGAAGAACACTCTCGATTAAGGATGAAATACACTTAGCTTCATACAAAAAGTGTGAGAATGTGCAATATAAATTTAAATTTAGTTATGGGGGGATGAAGGTACACCCGATCAAGATCCCATGGTTCCGTCATCCAGGGCATATCGTGGGTTCAGCCTACCAACACTAACAACCATTGGTTGTAGTATATATACAGGGAATCTGATTAGCAGCCATGGGTTGCCTCCTCTCAACACATATTTTAATGTTTCAAAATAGTTTTACTTTCAGCATTAGCTTTCATTATTTGTTTCAGCACTTTGCTTTGCATGCAGTAGCTAGATTTTACTTTTTTCCAGCATTTAATCTAGTATTGTTTATTGATGCTCTAACTTTTTGCATGTTTGCCTGCAGGAGCTCGTAGTCAGCAGTTTAGGAAGCTCTCATGTAGATACACGAGCATGTTGGTGAGAGCTACTCAGAGTGCTTGAGATGTTTGTTGGAGAGAGTTGCTCAATTTGAGAATCTGTAGCTCTTTGGAGAGTTATCAGCTTAAGAGCAATTTGAGTTGTTCGTTAGTTTGGAGAGCCGTAGCTAGTAGTTACAGTAACTCGAGCTTGTCGTTGTAGCATTTGTTAGGAGCTAGAGTATGCTAGGATCTTGGAGCTTTGCCATGAGCTGAGCTTTGTGAGGAGCTGGAGCTTTGCCAACAGCCGAGGCTTTGCCAAAAGATGGGTTTATATTAGGATTTTGGAGCATTTGTTTATGTTTTATGTTTTGATTAGTTTGTTAATTTAAATTTTAAATATATTTTGAGATTATTTAATTATCAAGTTAAATTGATTTGCTTCATTAATTTAATTGAATTGGATTAAGTTAAAGTTTCCAAATGTTTTAGATTAATTGTTTTAATTGAATTGGTTTTATTTGGTTAATTAAATTTTAATTTAAATTAAGTTTTGCATTATTTATTGAGATTAAAGTTGCTGTTATAACTTTGAATCAATTATTCAGGTTAAAATTTTTTAATTGAAATTTAGTTAATTTAAGTTTCCGAACAATTATATTAAATGCAATTTCAATCTTAGTTAAGATGATTTAATTAGCGAATTATTAGTTAATTGATTTCAAATTAAATTCGTGTTTATTTTTTTTAAATTCACCTAAGTCCAAAAATTTAGAGTAAATTTCGACAGCCTCCAGGCATCCCCTCCCCGGTGCCGGGAGGTAAGGGAGTGCTCGACTCGACCGGAGCGAATCAACGGCGAGGAGATTTGGTCTTCAGAAGCTTTGCTTTGCAGTGATTTGTTGTCGGAGATTGTCAAAAATTGCATTTAAAAAATTTGACTAAGTTCTGGATTTTTGAGGAAATTTCGGCAGCCTTCCGGCGTCCCCTCCCCGGCTCCGGGAGGTGAGTGGCTCGACTCGACCGGAGCGAATCAACGGTGAGTAGATTTGGTCTTCTGAAGCTTTGATTTGATAGTTGTACGATTGCGAGAATATGATCTCCCCCTCTATTTATTATTATTATTATTATTATTGAATGTAGTATAATAAATCTCTTTAATTATTATTAATAGTATTTCACTAATAATAATAATTAAAAATCCTCCTTCCTCAGGGTTTAAAGAAACGAACACTGTAGTGTTGATTGGCTCGGACTTCTTGCGTAGTGCGAGAGATTATTAGGTGCGGAGTGCAGACGGGGAGAACCGTCCGCACACTAGTATAAAATCCAGCTAGGTATCGTTCGGTACCGCTGGGTATCACTAGGTAGCGCCTGGTACCCTGTGTCTGTGCAGACGGTGCTATTCCCGTTTGCACTCCGCACCTAATAATTTTTCGCGTAGCGCAGAACTTGAGTGTGGGTTCGAAAGAACGAGCATGTGAGAGCGTCCCCTCGTTCATCCTTTTTCTTTTCTTTTATACGGACAGTTGCCTTATGTTGTGCTGAAGAACGTGGCGATGATTATGGCTATTATGATTAATCAGATAATCATGTTATAACAATAGCTTCTCCGACAATTTTTCTTCAGATTATTCTCTTTCCAATTTTGATTGAACATTTAAGAATTGCACAAATGATATGAAAATGTTCAAGTATTTTCTTATCATGAGTGAGTTTTGTTCTCTTAGTATTTGAGTACATTTGTTGTCTTCAAAACCCCAATGGGTCTTTCTAATCTTTACAAAGAAGATTTTTTCTTGCAAATTCTTGTAAGCTAGCCTCATGTGCATGATCAAGTTTCAAGTGCCAATTCTTAGTTTTACAAATAACATGTCATTGATTGCTGTCAATACTCCCAATAACAGAATATGAAGATCACTTCTTCTTGTCCCTTTTTTTCTTTTATTTTATAATTCGATTTGAACAGTCCAAAATTGAACCTCCCACAGAAAAATGAGCATTAAAATCATGCTTTGATATGTTGATTTTCAATTTCTGTGGGAGGTTCCATTTTTGGGCATTATGAGTCCATAGCCCTGTTTTTCCCCTTTTCTTTCTATTTCAATTTCTTACTGTATTTGTTCTCGATGTGGCGACGGAGGTTGAGATCAGCAAGCGGAAGCAGAAATAAAAAAATTGGAAAAGAAGGCAAAGAAGTTGGGCGGCGTCTCCCTAGGCATTGTCATGGCAATTATTGTCGCCTACATTGCCAACAAGAACTCCAGAAGCCGCAGGGAGCTCATGCTCCTTAGAACCAGCGCAGCGTTTGCTCTGGTGAGCTTCTTAGCATGGGTTGCTCTTCTTATAGCCATCCAGCTTAAACATTTAGGAAAAAAATTTCTTAGAGGAAGTGTCGTCATAGGAATTTTCTCCATAGCAGTCGGCGTCCTTCTCCTCGGCCTGAACATCGTGGTGTAGCTCTATGGAATGGCTGAAGTCAGTTCTAGTAGAAGTCGGTCTGTTTGTGCTACTCAGTGCGTTTTTCTTCTAATTTACACTTAAAGATTTATATAGTGATAATATATGAATATATGGTTTTTTTAAATTATGGATGATCTGAAGCTCATTATTTATGAATTTGAATAGATTTCATGATCAATACTTTTGCCACATGCTGACTGTTTCTATTTGATTTTGGGGACGATTGAGCAGCTTGTTTTATTTGGCCGCTTCCATGAGGTTTATGGATTGCATGGACTGAATTTTAGTGTATTAATTGCAGAATAAGGAGGAAAGCTTACAGAAAATCTGAGCCAGCTTTTGAGTTCTGAGATTATCCTTAGTAAATATCTAATCATCTTCATCATCAGAGGAAAATATGGAGGAGATTATACCAAAAAAAAAAAAAAAACCTGCAACTACCATGCATTCATAGATAGAATTAGGAGACTAACCTCTGCAAAAAGATATCCGGTGAAGAGAGAAAAACATTTCTAGGAGATTGAAGGTGAGGTGGTGGAGTCTAATGAGCATATAAGAGTGGCTATATATAGGCTATAGAATAGAGTATTATAGAAAATAATAATATTCTTAATAATGAGGATATTTTATAATAATAATGACCATAAAATTCTACTATATCTATTACACACATATTCTAATATTCATATGGCAGTAAATAATTCTAATTAGAAAAGCAATCTGGGTTATTCTAAATTTTCATGTTCCTACTTTTCAAAGTTGTTCGCATGGTTTTCTGGAGGAAGGAGATGGTCTTGATTGGTTGCGCTGAAGGGAAGGATCAGTCATTGCATGGGTCTAGGTGCTCGACTCTTTGTTTCTATTTAAAGTATCTTCTTATAATCGAATATAATATATCTCTACAAG